AAAAAAAAAATTTCAGTCAGCCAATCTCTGATTCTATTTTACGTCTGATTTCAACTGAAAAAAGGTAGGACAGAGGTAAAGAAAACTTATTTATATATATTTTTATATGTTATCTCTACTTATTATATATACTATATATTTATATATAATATATAAATAAAATCAGCTAAGCATATTTAAGTTTATCCCAGTGACTACTTCCATCCTGTATCTCTGTGAATTTTATATATTTGACTTAATTCTAATGCTATTGATAAAATGGACAAAACATTTTAAAAATCTCAAATAAAAAGAAATCTTTGTTTATGTTAAAGCTCAATGCCTCCATTGCTGGCTTGCTTGCTGATTGGCTGTGACGATGTGTACATTTGTTATGCATGTTTTTATGAATTAGCATGAAAAGAAGCCATTAGTTCAGGGAGATTAACTTTACAAAAATGAAAATCTTTATAAAAATTTGTTTCCTTATTATTCAAATATTACTCCTGGGCACAAGCGTGTGAACTGCCCTCCCGGTAAGCGGGAGGCCGCCATCACTGGGCTGGCGCCGCCCAACGCTGCCCTCCGCTTCTCCTGGGAGAGCCTGCTCTTTGCTTTGTATGTGAGGAATTAGAGTCTGTTTTGGAGAAAAAGCCTCTTGAAGAACAAAATGTTGAGAAAAGAAAAAGACACACAATGATCATGACCATAGCAAGAAAAACTGCTACAAATAAGCTGCACAAGTGTAAAAGCTGGGCTTCCCCTTCTCATCACCACCGAGGCCTCCCATCCCCGGTCACGTTTGCAGGGCCACCAGGAAAGTGGGCAATTCTGCACAATAAGCTAACTCTACTTATGCTCGTCCCTTACTTCTTCCAAGAGTCAACATCCAAGCTATGAATTCTTTTGCCCAACATATATTTGTCTTTTAATTAATTACCTATGTAGAAGAATAACTGTAATTCTTTGGATAAGTGCAAACTATAGGACTTGACCAAGCTCTCTATTGGAGATGAGGTATCTTATTACTTTTTATAAGCACAAATGAAATACAGTACCTTTGATTTTTGTGAAAAACAGAAGAAACAAAGCAGCTCAGAGAAAGGGCAGTTAGGTACACAAATTGTAATAAAAACCACGGGCCCTCATATTAGGGTTTCCACTCCCTTAACATAGCAGTGTATGGTAAACACAGAGATGTGGTTGCGCATCTGAGAACTGGAGGAAAGGATTACACAAAGATAACTCAGTCCAAATATTCTTAGAGTAAATACATACAGAAGAAGTAGAAATACTGGCGTAAGTACTTGCTAGTAATTTACAAGCAAGCATTATTTTGACTCAAAATTTATAAACCCAATTGAGCACAATAAACCTAAACATGAAATGTTTTCTTCCAATTCATGAATATTATCATTATTCACACTATTACTATTCACACACATCATTTGATCATCCCATACAATGGTTATCAGACCTTCTCATAACACGTTAAAAAACAGACTAGCATTGCCTTAATTTGTTGTTGCTGTTCAAAGAAACACATATCACTAGTAAAGAAAGAAGGGCACAGAAGGACGTTAGCTTGCTATTGACAGAGTTCATCAAAGCATCCAGAATCAAATCCACTTAACAAATGCTTACGAAAAGGCTTTTATAGGTGAGGTGACTACAAAATGAGACATACCCCCTAGCTTTTAAAGAGGTAGAAAAATTAATACAGAGACCTCTCAAGGCAGATCATAAGTACAACCAAGTACAATGAAGATTTCAGCAGGGACAGACAATGGTTGGTAAGGGATGCGGGGAATGAGAGGCTTCCCAGAAACACTTGTCTCCCTGGCAGTATCCCATTTTTAGAAGGATTATTTTAACTTGAAAAATATACAGAAATATACAAAAACAAAAGGAAAACTGACACCAAATGTCACCACTTTCCTTCCCCTGACTCAGTAAGTCTACCCTCCAGAAAGACATTATCTTAATATTTTGGTGCCTTGTTTTTCAAATTTTTTAATACTAGATATATATGTTTAAAATATCATAGACACATAGGCTGTTTAAAACGGGGCAAAACATATTGCATAACTTGTTTAATTTACTGTCTTGATATCTTTTCCCTGTGCTACAAGGAAGAGAAAAAGCTGACAGAGGCAGTCATCCTTTGAGATGCCCAAGGCAATGTGGCCCTTATTGGACATTCTTACAAATCCTCCAGTGGAATTTCTCAGCAGGAAAATAACTGAGAAATGCCATGTTTAAGAACATATTTACAAGGTTACTCTGGTCTGTCTACATCTGCAGTTAAATGCAGTAGCCACTAGACACATTTGGCTATTTAAATTTAAATCAATTAAAAGTTCTGTTCCTCAGTCACAATAGCCACATTTCAAGGGCTCACTATTGTAGTCACACGTGGCTAGTGACCACTGTATTGGACATGACAGATATAGAACATTTCCACCATTGTAGAAAGTTCTATGGGACAACACTCAGAGTAAAGAAACCTGGCATTTTAATTTAATTGAGTAGAGAATGGAAGTTAGTCACAAAGACTATATGGATGACTGATGGAGAATACAAATTAAGGCCACCCAAGTCTGGGAGGCTCCCTCTTTGCCACTGGGAGCTACATAGTTGGCACTAGTCATTCTGAACCCACAATGCCTACCTCCCGGTATTAAAAAGGGACACCTGAGAGCTAACAGGCACAGACTCCCAGCAACCAGGCATTGGGTGGCTGCTCACAGCTTGTATCTTTCACTCAGAATTAGTTAATTTGGCTACTTTTACTAATATATGTTTGTTTCATATGTCATGAGTCGCAATGTTGTGATGTGTCTCAGGTTAAGATCTATGAGTCCTGAATAGTACATTTAACAAACCTGAATAGCATGGATGTACTATAGTTTATGTAACCTTAAATCTATTAATAGACTCTTAGGCTGCTTCAAATATTATGCTTTCACAAATGCCACTGCAATGAATGTTCACATAAAATTTTTAATACATTCAACTATTATTCTGGAAGGGTTTTGCTGAGTCATAAGGTTATGGTCACTTGTAATTTTAATAGATACTGCAAATTACCTTCCTAAAGAGTTGTACCAATGTATTCTCCCTCAAATTATATAGTAAGGAACCTTTTATCCATACTATTTCCATGACTGGATATTATCTGTCTTATTAATTGTTGCCAATATGATAGTTTTTACTTGCCCTTCCTTCATTATTAGTGAAGCCAAGGTGCTAGTTACACATTAATTAGCTATTTGAAGGTAAATTGTCTTTTCATGGCCTTTTTGTACACTTGCCATTTTATGTATTAATATTTATAGGATAGTTTGTCTTTTGTTGATTGATTCAGAGGAGGTGTTGGTTTTACTGGTATTTGTGTTTTCTGTGCTGCAAAAATCTGTTTACCTCACTTCATCCCCACCCTCCTCGCTGCTTCTGCCTCTTAGCTTGGTTTAAGACATCTTTTGCCATCTGTTAAGTTTTTATGTAATTAACTCTGTCAATCTTTTTTTAAAGACTTCTGGGTTTTAGGCCTTTCTCAAAAAGTGTTTCCCATTCTAAGATTATAAACACAACCTTCTATATTTTCTTTTAAACTTCTAATACTTTCTTTTTTACAAATAAAGTTGTAGTCTATCTAGAATTAAGTTTTGTATATGGTAAGAGGAAAGAGTCCAACTTAATTTTCTTACAAACAGATAATCAACTGTTTCAGTAGCATTTAGGGGGAAAATTATCTTTTCTCCATAGATTTAAAATGTCACATTTATCATGTGTTAATATCTTATAAATATTTTATTCTGTTTCTGGACTATTTGTTTTAATTAGCAACTTACCTACACTATTCTAACCTCTGGATGACAAGAAGTACATGGACTTGAGGAAACTCAGGATACTTCTTCTAATAAAAGGTCTATTTTTTAATCAATCAAGGCCATAGCCAGTTATCTGGCAAAATTTATCAGTGTTTATAATGTATTTTGCAACCTAATCCTGTCAGCTTTGCTATACCCTCCTTCACATAGCACAGTATTTGGCACATGGCAGAATATCAAGCAATTATTTGCTGAATATGTTAATATGCAATAATTTATTCAGATGAAAGTAAATAAATTCAAAGTAATCACTGGATTAATGTGAACTTTCAGCTTATTAGCAGTAAATCCTAGAAAAGGGAATTAATAGCTTGCATTACTGAAGGAATACAACTTCACCAAAGCTCCTAAGATAGTATCTCTCCCCCAAAATAATGTTGCAGTGCATTCGATGGGCTGCTCAGACTACTGGCCACTCCCCTCTCCTACTCCCCAAGACAGCTATTACACACCTTCCACTGTGTCCTCGAATCTCCAAAAGCCCCTCCGCATCGGAGGAACCACATCTCCCACCACGCAGACCTCCCACCACAGACAGACGGCAAAATTTCTGAATACACAGTCTAGTAATATATATTGTAGCAGACAGTAAAATATTTACTACATATACTGGACACATAATAAACAATCTAATGACTGGCCTCTGCCTTCCCTCCTATTCCAATAAATGCTCCCGGTCGGGACAAACCTTCCCACCTTACTTACTCGAGGACTGTCTACCACCTCCCTTTCCTCTCTTCTAGATCATTTTCAATACTGCACAAACTGCAAATCTCTTCATCTTTGAAAATAACTTGTCATTAACCCATAACCTTCTCCCTCAACAGCAAAATTCCTTGAAAAAAGAAAATGCTGGTACTAGCTATGTTTTCTTCCTCTCTACCTTTCACCTTGAACCTGCTCCATTCAAGGTTTTGTAAGCTCTATGAGACCATGGGTTTTATTAATTCACATTTTTATCCTCAGAACCTAGAACAGGGACTGAAACATAGTAGGTATGCAATAATTATTTTTTGAAGAAACGAGTAAACAAATAAATGTATATATAGTTTGACTATGAATGTGGCTTAATGATCCTAGCTTAAGACATAATCTAAAAGGGAAACCTTGGTTGGGGGCATTACTCACTTTTCGCTGTTTTACAGAGTCCAATTTTATGAGCCAATATGAAGCCACTTTTGTTTTATGATACTTCCAGTTACCAATGATCTGTTGTGGGCGAGAAACATTAAGAAATATAACCTAGAATTTTCCACAAAAGTAGCAAGTAAAAAGTAAATAAACGGGTTGAAACCAATTTTAGGTAATAAAATGAAAGCACTATAATACCAATTGCAATAAAGAATGTCTACTTTCATAAAAAGGCATGTGCAAAGATTTCTAACATAAGGTTAAGAGGCCATCTGAACCTAAAGCTTTTGCTTCTTGCTGTAAAAGCAGACAATCTCTAATGAATAAAAATCAAATGGCTTTAGGCACATAAGGTTTGGAAAGAAGCCCAAGACATAGATTTCCCATATTAATTCCAAAATCTGTATTTACCACATCACCCATAATAACAGAATATTGAATAATACAGTAGAAGATAGCCAATATATATTATCTCTTTGTTTTTGCCAAATCTGCAAAATTTCTGAATATATATTATAGTAATATATATTGTGGCAAACAGATTAAAATATTTATTACATATAGTTAACATATAGTAAACAATCTAATAACTGAAATAATTATTTTCATTAATTATTTAAGTCCATTTTTTTTTTAGAATAATCATATTAGCCACAAATGTCAGTTCTACTCCCTGATTATCTAAGTTTTCTTCTGCCTGATTCAAAAGGTGGTATCCTACTAATATCACTAAAAAGTATAAATAAAATGTCTGGTACAAAATCATTGGCTATATTTAGAAAATATCTTGATTAAATAAAACAACATAGGTAAATAAAACATGTCTAGCATAATGCATTATAACTAATGTTCATTTTTCTTCTTTGATGTAACTAACAAATAGCAGTTCATTTGTAAACAAGATGCTCTTTTCACTTTAAAAATATATATATATATAACAACACAATGCATAACATTTGGGAACTTTGTTTACAACTATGTCACAATTACAAAATAGAAATGGACATTATTGATTTTTAATTAAGAAAGTCATTTTATTATTATTCATTTGGTGGCTGTTTCTAGACAGTTGTTTTAGACAAAAATACTGCTAAAAAAGTAAAAAAAGGCAAGTGCATAGCTGTAGTTTATCCTACAACTGGCCACAAGATGGTGCCTTCTCCTCCAGAAAATAATACTAGGCAAACCAGAAAACAAAATTCTATTACTGAGGAATTACCTAGGAACAACAATTGGAAAAGGGTGTTTGGATGAAAAGATAGAACTTTAAATTAAGAAATGTTCTTTCACCAGAAATATTTAGAGAACTTGGACCTTTTTTCTAATTAAGAAAAGTTATTGACTTTAACGTGAATTTTAGGACTCTGCCATTTTCGAATGTTCCACTGGGTGGTGCAAATGTGTGTGTAACAAGAAAATCTCAAAATTTGACCAAAACCATCCACAGTGTCACATCTCATTCCATATTAGATCTTTCCAAATCTTTATAAAAGCAGCTTTAATTTGATATGTCTTTAATCATTAAGGACAATAACTGAATAACATGAATTTTCACTTGATGAAGCAGTTGCATCATTAAAATGGGACAACGCACTAAAAGATATTTTGCATTGCTAATTATAAATGTGATCTCACTGCTCATGAATCATAATAATTAAAATAGTCACTGTATTTTCTAAAGCTTGTGGAGGTTGAAAAGAACATTAATTAAGTTTACTATATCATTGAGAATAATGCCATTGGGAAATAAACTTTAATATTCTAAGAAGAATAAGAGGCACGAGCTCCTTGGAATTTTATATATTGATACATCAAATACTCACATCTTCTACCAGAAGTAATGATTCTGCATCTGATTTTCCTGGAAACCGGATCTTCATGTCCTTGAGAACAAATAAGGTCTGACTTGTTAGATCATCTTCTTGTTCTTTTGTTCTCAGTCCCCGCAAAGACTCACTCTTAAATTTGAAAGAATACAGATATTTGGAGGGGGTCTTATTTCATTGTGCCACTATAATCTGAAAGATATTTCTAGGTAAAAATAATGTGCTTTTAATTGGGGAAAAAAACAATGAAAAAGAAAGAAAATAATTCTTTTACATTTATTCTTAGAATTAAATTCTTAGGATTAAATGGATATGACTTCCCAAAAGTGTCTTTCACACTTCCACACAGTTGTATTTTAGTTAGCTCCCAATACTAAAAAACAAAAGTTATGAATGGTTAAAAAAGACTTCCTGGTCAAAAGTTTCATTTGCAACACATACCTTAGGCAATTTTCTTTTTTTAATTTTTAGAGAGGAGAAAGGAGAAAGAAAAAGAGGGAGAGAAACATCAATGTGAGAGATAAATATCAATCATATCGATTAGTTGCCTCTCGTATGTGCCCAACCAGTGACCAAACCCACAACCTAAGCATGTGCTCCGACCAGGAATCAAACTGGCGACTCATGGCTTTGCAGGACAACACCCAACCAACTAAGTCACACTGGTCAGGGCTCCTTAGGCAATTCTCGATTAGGAAAAAAAAATAATAATTGTTAACATGTGAAAGTCACTGACTTGTATTTTCCAGATTCATCAATTTGTTAATGTCATCCACATTACATAAGCAAATTAAATAAATTCTTGGTCTTTGTGAGGGCACCTGGAGTTATCTATTTGAGTGTCAACAAAAAAGTCTGATAGCAAAATAAATTTACTGACTTCCTCAATACTGAATCTCCAGGATTCATACTAAGGAGGGAATATTATATGTTAAGTTAATATACAGAAAACATAATGCTGTATTTCAGTACTGTAAGGATAATTTATCAATGGTTTATTTTTTAACCTATTAACCAAGAGTTCCATTGAAAAAGATTCTCCATACAACAAATTTCCCCAAATTTGTAAATATATGGCACAATACACTACAAAATCATATTTACTCTAATGATCTTCAACAAAATTATCCTACTCCATAGGAAAATGGAAAATAAAATGCTATTCTCAGTCCTCGAGTCTATGATAGACTGTTCTGCCTTCTAAGATAAAGTACAGGTTGATAAATTGAACAATCCAAACTCCAGGAGATCGTGAGTTGAATGATGGAAAGGACCAGAGGTTCAATCTGTCTTTCTCCCAGGTGATCCCTTTGCCACCTAAATCCTCAGTACAGTGCTTCCTGTATCTCCATAGAAGCAAAGTAGATGACTTACCATCTGAGAGTTGGTGGAGCTGGCATCATTACTATGAGGCAGATGCCTCATGTAGGAGGAAGCACGGTTTAAGGAATGTGACCGAGAGGTTGAAGTTGGCCGGGGTGCTGACATCATTTGTTGAGCAGACAGGGGCCGGATATCTGCACTAGAAGGTGACTGAGAAGAGATGGACCGAGGGCAACTGAATGAACGTCTTATGGAGCCTATCGGTGATGGAGAAGAGGGATAGTTAATAGAAGTCTCCCATCATATTTGGTCTACATAAACTAACAATTAGACCACATGATAGAACCATGGCAGTACATGTGCAGAACTTGGTGCAGAACCTCTGTCATGTATAAAGAATGGCTACCATGAGAATAATATTTAAACAGCGCTTTAATTTTCTGTTCTTGAAACATGACATAAAAGAACAAGAAGAGAAGAAAACTAACATTTATGGAGCACGTTCTATAAGCTAGGCATCTTGCTATATACATACACTTATATCTTATCTTATATCTGAGAGATATTTATCTCTCACATTGATGTTTCTCTCCCTCTCTTTCTTCCTCCTTTCTCCTCTCTAAAAATTAAAAAAAGATACATACACATATCTTAATCCTCCTTATAGAAACCCACAGAGATGGGACTCCCCATCACCTGGAAGCTCAAGAAAAGAACTTTCTCAAGGTTGCATGACAAGACAGTATGCCAAGCTCAGGTTTAAATCCTGAACTATTAATGCCAGTGTCTCCCTCTTCCCCAAAAATGCTATCCACTATCCTTGGATTAGGCTGGTCATTCATTAGAATCTGTATATAGGTTATAAACAATATTTTACAGCAAGGGTCATTGTAAGGGATGGACAGCAGTCTAGAGAATGGCCAGGAAAATAGACAAGATACAGAATTTTGGGCTCTTGAGGAAAAAAAAAAACCAGAAGAAAAGCATAAAGATTATCTTAATGGACTTTAAATATATAATCATTATAAGGGTGGTACAAGACAGTTTTCTAATTCACAAGAGAAAAGAATTAAAAAACTAGATTTAAATTCCCACAGCAAAAGGTTTTAGTGAAGAAAATATATCTGGAACTAAAGGGTTGTTATCAAAACAAACGTGTAGGGAAAACTGTAGGCTATCTTCCCCAATGTATATTGAGAAAATTTAAAAGAGGAAATCTTCTATCCCAGGTAAATTTGATTCCTGGCACAGGAAAATAGAGTATCACTCAATATCATCAACATTTATATATATTTTTAGTTCATATATTTTGTATACCTTCTGTCCTACACACTCTCTTTGCTTTGGATATATCAATCTTCATTGGTTAAATAATTTAATAAAACTCACATAAAGGCAGGTTGAATAGCCAAATATTTCTCTTCATTAGCTGTTGAAAAAAATTTAAACCTTTTTAAAGGCAGTAGATATATAAACCTTATATTTAGGGACATACTTCTAAATAATATCTTGAATAGATAATCATCTAATACTTCTCATTTGGTTCTAAAGAGCACAAAAAAGTATACTCATTCGAGCTATAAAATATGTTTTTAAAATGCTTCCATTTGTTCAAACTAGTAACTTCCATCTCAATTTGAAAATCACACCATTTTTTTGAAAAAACAGTGCTTCTAGAGAAGGGTTGTATGGGGAACATACCACTAGTCAATCTTCTACTAAGCTAGTACCCTGAAACCATGCGCTACAGCTTGCACCTGGGTTTCTCCTTTAAGGCTTATGGTGATGGTTTAGACATTTATATCATGATCATAGGTACAGAAGGAAAATATCCTTTCTCTTGAATAACCAAAGATTCCCTATTTCCCCCGCATACACTAAAAATTCAGACAGAGTAATAAGTAGTTAGACCTGCCAATGATATTTAGGTCAGTGAATAAAAAGTTGCAACTTACCTACATATATTATGTGAAAAAATTTCATATAGTTTTGTATATGACTACCTTACATCAAACCAAAATATATTTTTCAAAATCATAACAAGTTTGAATTTCCTAGGTTAACCGTCTACAACAGAGAGTATTACACATAACCTGGATTTTGTCCTCAGTCATGATCATCACTTTGGACAGAAAATTCAAAGAGGGTTTGTGGTTTTGTTATTACTTAGTGTAGGAGGGAATATAAAAGTGAAGGCCTTATAGCAATTTCTAATGATTAAAATATAATACTTAGGAAAAAAGATATGTAATGGAATTAGGCTATTTTGAGTACACTCTTTGTCTCATCTTAATTCATTCCCTTACTGGTCTAAGAAAAAAGAATGATCTCAGAGCTATAGGAACCTGAGCAGATTTTCTTAACCCTACCCTGAGGGATGCGCACATTAGCCAACAGGGGTCAAAAAAACTGACAAAATCTGGGCAGAACATGGTCAGCTTCCAAAAAGAGGAACAGAGTCATACTTACACAGACACAGAGAAAGTACTTAAGACGTCTTTCAGAAAAAAGGAAGAAATTGATAAAATAGCTACAAACTCTGGAACAGGTGGTCAATAAACATACCTTAAATGAGTATTTAAATAAACAAATAAAATTGAATGTGATACATTATTTCCCCTCCAAACACATAAAATTGAATGGGATACATTATTTCCCCTCCAAACACATAAACCCTCAGACAGGATCATTTTAGCAGGTATCTTTGTGGAATAATTTAGAAGTAAATGAAAGACCATTAAAATCTTCATCTATTAGTTCTGCATTCCTCACGCATTCTGCCACAAGTATGGAACTCCTGGTTTAACAGACACACTGTCAGGGAAGCTAACATGTGAAACCATTGCTGAAGAGCCACAAAGGCTCACAATGGTGTTTATTACATGACTGCACCAGTCCCATTAGTGGGGCCCTGGGACGATGAAGGGCAGGCACACAGGGAAACGAGAGGCGGGGGGGAAACGAGAGGCGGGGGGGTAAGAGCGGGTCCTGCACGGGAGACAGCATCAGGCAGGGCTGTCTCACGGGGCAAACGGTGATGCTGGACACCTGGGGTGGAAAGGAGAATCATGGACACAAGAGGGCACATTAGGGATCAAAGGAGAGTCAGAGAAAGGAGGATGAAGAGAAAGTGTGAAAAGAAATGAAGGAAGAAAGAAAAAAGGAAACTGAAAAGGAAGGAGTCAAAGAAGCTGGTAGGTTACGCTCCCGAATACACACCGAAAGCCGACTTCAGTGCTATCTGGGATGAGAATGAGAGGAAACAAAACTATTTCACAGTTGTGGGGATTGCAGATACATCCCAGCCAAATACCTAGAGACACAGACTTTTTAAAAAATAGGTGAGAATACACAACAAAATGGGTGACAGAGAGGTAGGAAAAGCAGGAAAGGGAATGAGAGAATATATTGGCTTAAGAGAGAAGGCAATCAGCAGAACAGCCAAGCATCACATTTTATATACCCATGTAAAAGTATATAAACTTTTGCCCTGGATGGGTGTCTCAGTGGGTTAGAGTGCCATTCTGTACACCAGTGTGGACTCCCGGTTAGGGCACATGGCTAGGTTGCGGGTTTGATCCAGGGTCGGGGCATGTAGGGAGGGCAACTGATCGATGTTTTCCTCTCACATCAATGTTTCTCTCTCTCTCTCTCCCCACCCGCTTCTTCTCTCTAAAATCAGTAAACAGATCCTCAGGTGAGGATTTTTTTTTTAAAGTCAAGGGCTTAACAAAAACTATTAAATATAGAAGAACAAACTATAGAGATCCCTGTAGTCAACCCTTCATGTTCTACTTGAAGAGCCTGAAGGGGATTGTGGGATGTGCCCAGATCGGTTAGGGAAGGAAATGGGACAGAATCCAGGTCTCCTCACACACGACAAGAGTTCATTTGGCCCAAGGTCCTTTTATTGAGTTGTTTCACAATTCATCGTATAACAACTAAATTAGGAGAAATTAACTTACTGGATGGTTGAATTAATTTGTAGTGGTTGGACTGCTTAAGGTTATAAGTAACTTGCTTTTCCCGTTTCTTATTCTGGTACTCTTCTTTCTCCTCTTCATCTGACTCCGAGGAGCTGCTGCTGCTGTCATAGCTGCTATCACTGCTGTAGTACTTCTGCCTTCTCATTATCTCTGTACTCTCAGGCATGGAACACAGAGGCTAAAATACAGGAAAATGTGTTATTTTGTCAGACTTCCAAAAAAAAAAAAAAGACTTATGAACACGATTACTTACTACTTTCAATTCCCCACTTATGCATACTGCTTTTCACTGGAACCTGAAAATCTCGCGAAGTGCTATTGCTACAGTGCTGCTATTAGCCCACAATGCAATTCACTAATTTTTCTGTTCCTGCCAAATATCTTTTATTAAGTGACGTAGTTCAGTCACAATGAGGAAAAAGTTCCCACAGTTGTACACAAGTTTCTTGTTCTGTTAAATCAAACAAAAATGTTTTGATGTCAGCATATACAACAATGAAATCCTTGGTTATCATGGGATTTCCCAGAAATAAGGTATAACCTCTCATATAACAGTGTAGGATGAAAGGTAAAGTGAGGAATGGCATTTCATGAAGTACCTGGAATACATAATAAGCCAAAGCATGATCGTCTTAAAGTTACTGGCTTTGCAAAGGACAAAAAAATAACCAAAGGAGGAAAGTAGTTTAATATACTATGGTACCAACATGTGTTTAAAAATATATTTTCCTTTTGATCGTTTAATATTTGTTGAGCACTAACAATGTTCAAAGAAATTCATAAAAACATTCACCAGTAACACAATCATCAAACATCCTGACAGTCTTGGGGAATACGAATTCCGGGGGAAGGATATTTCTTCGGAGTCTAGCATGCCCAGAAGAAAAAGTAGCACACTCAGGCTTGCTGGCAGCACCTTCCTTCATGTACGCAAACAGATTTAAGGCTTTCTAAGGAGCTTGACTACATAATGAGTTATCTGACCCTTTAAAGAATCACAGGGGGAAACAAACAGATGTGTCAGATATGCATTTGGGACTCTTTTGACCAATGCACTGTTCAAGCAATAATTAATAAGAATTCACAGCAGCATAAATTCTAAACAATGCCTTAACTACAAAATGGAATTTGTAAATTGGCATTGAGTTATGACACAGACCTACTACTTGCTTTTATGCCCAATTTTATTTTTAACTGGGTCATAAATAAAAAAAATACATAAATAGTATAAAGAATAATAGAACAAATACCCATGCATCTAGCACTCTGCTGAAGAAGAAAACAATGCCAATACTTTTTTTTGTGTTTATCATTTTTGCAGCTAATATTTCCTAGATTCTCAAATAAGTGAAAAAATTATTTCTCCTGGCACAAGTTTCACTTAACCTTGATTATCTTTAATTATTCTTTATTCTTCTACCAGTAAAAACACTGAAAATCAGAGATTGGAATGTGTTATCATCCCTCTAAAAGAGAAAGTCTACTGTGAAGTTTGTCTCACCCCAGACCCTCAGTATACATAAAGTTAAAAGTCATAAAAATGTTTTTACTTCAGACTGACTATGCAGCTCTCAAGCACTTTGAAATATTGCTGGTATTAATAACTATAGGAATTAACTAATTCATTTCAACAAATACATTGTTAGTTCCTGTCACTTGCCTGGAATATTGGGGTTAAAAATACACAATGTGAATTCTGCCCTCCAGGAGGTTACATTTTATTTGCATAATGCATCTTATTTGATGAAGCAAAGGAAAGTATAAGACAGCAGAAGGCCATCTCACGCCCTTGGCATTTGCCATTCTGCCATGAATATCGTGCCCCTGGGAGGTCTCGCATCGGGTTTGCTGAATTGCAATAATCAATATACAGGCTCAGAAACTTCCCAATGTTTTCCAGAGTGAAGCAATGACTCATGAAGGTATTCACTTTTACAGATACTCTAAAATATATTTGTTCCAAAGGAATTAGCAATGACATCTTCTACAGTTCTTCAATATAAAGGATATAATTCAGAAGAACAGTGCCTGGCATCCAAGATGTCTGGCGTCCACCAGGCATGTATTTTTCACTAGGTTCATCAAGCACCATTTTACTCTCCAAGAATCTTTCCACTGGAGTCATACCAAATTCTTTATGTTTCTCAAACAACCTATGCAGTGTCACAACTCCTTGTCATTGCCTTTAATATTCCCTCTACCCTGAACATCTTTCCACCCATCTTACATGTTTATGGCACTACTCATTTTTAAAGACCCAGTTCAAATGGCATTTATGAAGCCCTCCACAGTCCACCAATCCCTCTCTCCTCTCTGCTGCTGTAGCACTTTCCACTCTCTTTATTACAGTATTTGGCACAATACACTATGGTTTTTGCTTCACCTATCTGCTCCTCCCCTAGCCAAAGAAGTCCTTGTAGACAAATTCAACTAACCATTTTTGAGAACTTATTAAGTTTCAGATGCTGTGCTAGGTATGACAGACATAAAGGTAAAAATATATTTTCTACCCTCAAGGAACTTACCAGCTTATATTAAAGCACACAAACATGCAAGCAATTTGTCAAAAATGCTCTATAGGAGTGTTATTTGTGGTACGGCAGGAGGAGAGGAAGGAAGATCTAAGTCTAGGGGAGGGAAGATTTCACAAAGGCAGCAATAGTTCAACTGGATTAGGAAGGGCTCTCTAATCAATCGAGCAGTGTATATGTGATTTTTTTTAAATAGGCAGGGATTCCAGAAGCATGGGAAAAGCATTGAAGGACGGCAGAGCATGATGAGTGTAAGGACATGGATATAGCTTGGAACTGCTGCAGCGGAAAGTAAGAAGAGCACAGGGAAAAAGTTTCCAAGGTTCTACAAATTCATCCCTTCCCTGCTCTACCAGCAAGGACTTTGACATATAACCAAGGAATATACCGATGTCATCATCACAGAGCAGATGAAGGTAAAGGGCCCACCTGCTCATTTTTGCCTGCATGACAGCTCTCTCTTTACCCTAGGAACTCCATCTATTTTAACTAACACAATTTCAATGTTGCTGGGTCAGCAAAATATGGGGTTCCCAATAAGGATCTTGAGAGTCGTGATTTGCCTTATCTATAAATAATGCACTTCTCTGATAATTATATATCTATAGATATGAGGAAAACTTAATACTAAATGTTAATAAGGGTATTAATTCTAGGACCCTCTTGGTCTTGACTAATTAGGGTTTCACTAGCACTACAAAAAGAATCCAAAAATTAAAGGAAACTAGCAAAACAAAAACCCAAACTTCTAAGTATGAGGTAACCAACTCTATCTGTACTGGACAGAGTCCGTACAATTCCTTGAAAATGGTATCAGCCATTCCTATAGTGATAAATATAAAGGGAGAAACAACTGTACTTAATAGCTTCTACCTTGATACTAAGAAAGGAAGAGGTACTGTACCTTTGGTCCTCGAGGCCTGGCAGTTTTGCCCATCAACTTTTCGTCATCGATTTCGCATTGTTCCAGAAGATCCAAAATATCTTCCTCCTTCAAAAGATATTTAATTCAAATTGTCATCACCAATGGACTCTAGAATTTTTCCAAGCTGATTAATCTCCAGAAAACAGTATACAATGACTCCTATAATATCTAATGAAGATTGCTCAGATCAAATGAATAATAAAGGGTCAGGAACAACTCTTAAAAATTTTTTTCACTAAAACCTGATAATATAAATAATACATTGCTGAAATGTATTATGTATTATCATAAACAAATGTATCCTTATGTTTTACTATACTGTTAAAGCCTGAAAGTAAAATAATTTAATAAATTAGCCTATTAAACACTACAAAATTTCTATAAGTCACTCTACTTTTCTAGACCACAATTTCATCAATCATTTTTATATTGATCATTACAAAGTAATACTGCAACTTCTGACAGAAAATTGATGACTAGCCTAATAATTAGCAATCTAGTATTAACATTCATTTAATAGGCACAATTTAATGAAACTTTAAAATTTTTAACTATTACACACAGTATCTTTAGAATTGTATAAAAAGTTTTCATTCTACAGGCTTAATACCTTCTCTTTTCCTCTTCTAGAATCATTTTGATGTTAAAGGGAAAAGTTATAAAAAAAAAGTTATAACATATAAAAGTTATAAAAACATTCCCAAGTGAATGTTGAGCAAACCAGAGCAACAGGACTACAAGAGCTAGACTGAAAATTGAATCATCAACGGCTCCATTGAGCTATTTGTTCAACCTATAAAAAGATCTCATCTTTATCTATAGGATTTTTATTTCAGTATCTCTTAAAAAAAGGTTTGTGAAGAAACTAGAAGTATCACTGTGCAACAGAAATTTGTAAAATAAGCTATTCTTCATGCCAAAGAAAGTTTAGCTATTAAAATACCAAAATACTTTTGCTATGAAGTTTGATTAAACAGCAATTCTACAATAAATTCCAAGGCACAGAGAGTTAAAATGAAATACATGGAGGTCTGCTTCTGTTTAGGAGAAAGTCATAATGAACAGTCATTTTCATCATATCAGCTAGAAAAAATTAAATAATCATATTTTTAAGATATTGGAAAGCTGTGGATAAAAACTAGTACATAAAAACTAAATACCAGAGAGAGAGTTCTTCCTAGTTGGTCGGAGATGAGTGGCCACTTTCTACATTGGGGTAGTTTGTCATGTCTGCACACAGACAGACAAAGATCAGGTCTAGAATAGGCAGAGAGAGCCCGCTAGGATAAAGAACCCAATAGAGTCCTCCGTGGTCATGTTGGCTAGTGTACCATCTAGAGGAGCCCCACAGAACTGGTTCTCGTCACCTGCTGCGTCTCCGCGATAGCAATTTGAGTGAGTATGAAGTGATGTTGGAGGAGGGAGGCATGGATGGAAAGCCAGAAATACGTCACTGTCATCTTACACTTCTTAGATACCAATAGGGAATGAGGCCTGTAATAAACACTAAACAGATTGCACCCTCAAAGCACTTGAAACCAGAGGTAAACTAAAACCACTAAACCCAGCTTGGACCCAGTTCAACCTTTCTTACTTTAGTTTTACTTTTTAATTGAAATATATTTGACATGTAACACTGTAAATGTAAGGTGTACAGCATATTGATTTGATACATTTATATAATAATGCCATTGTAGTGATAGTTAACTCCTCTATCAAGTCCCATAATTACCATTTCTTTTTAGTGGTTGGAATAATTAAGATCTAGTCTCTTAGCAAGCTTAATGATTATAATAAAATATCATTGTCTATATTCACTATAGTGTGCATTGGCTCTCTAGAACTTATTTACTACTAGTTGCAAGTGTGTACACTTAAATAATATCTCTCCTATTCCCCTACGCTACCACCAAGCCTCTTTTTACTTGACTTTTTAAGATTTCACATATAAACGATATTATACAGTATTTGCCTTTCTCTGGTTGACTTATCTCACTTAGCATAATGTCCTCAAGGTCCATCCATGTTGTCACAAATGGCAGGGTTTCCTTCCTTCTTGTCACAGGATGATATTCCAATGTAGATATATGCGACACCATCTGTATCTATTCATCCACTGACAGGCACTTAGGTTGTTGTTTCCCAAGTGGCTGAATCAATTTATAATCCCGCCATGAGTGTACAAGGATTCACTTTTTCCCACATCCTTCCCAGTACTTGTTACTCTGGTCTTTCTGATAAAAAGCCATTCTAATAGGTGTAAAGTGATATATCATTGTGGTTTTGATTTGCACTCCTTGATGATTAGTAATGTGGAGCATCTTTCATGCATCTGTTGGCCATTTCAATATCTTCTTTGGAAAAATATCTATTAAGTTTCTCTGCCCACTTTTTAATAAGATGGGGATTTTTATTGAGTTATATGAATTCAATATACATTTAGCTATAAACTCCTTTATAGATATTTTAGATATGGTTTACAAAAATATTCTTCAATGCCGCAAGTTGTCTTTTCATGTGTTTTGTTTCTTGCTGTGCAGAAATTTCCATGTTTGATGTAGCACCACTTTTGATTTTTGCTTTTAACTTTTCTTCAACTCAGAGTAATCAGCCCTTCACCCTAGCACCCTGTAAGAAGAAAGATATGCCTTCTTTTGGAGAAAATAATAGTTTGATTTTTATGATTCTTTTATAAACAATGTTAAACAAATAAAAATTATAGGATATTCAAAATAACAAAAAATGTGAATCATAATCAAAAGGAAAAAGCAACAATAAGAGAAGGTCCATAAATAATTCAAATACAAGGATTTTTAAACAATTATTATATACATGTTACAGAAAACAATGAAAAAGGGAACAAAATGAACGGAAGAGACTGAATTTCACTAGAGAAATTAAATTTTAAAAAGCCAAAGAGATATTCTTGAGTTGACAAACATAATCTAAAGTTAGGATATGATTGGGTAAGCTCAATGGCAGTCTAGACACCACAAAAACATGTCAATAAAAATTATCCAAACTGAAACAGAGAGAAAGAGAGTAAAAATGTGAAACAGAATAGGGCCTCAAAGATATATAGGATGATGTCCAATGATCTAATGTATGTGAAACTAGAGTCCCATAAAAGAGGCAATATATAAAATACAACAAATATATCTGATGAAATAATGAAAGGAAATTTTCCAAAGCAAATGAAAGACATTAACCAACCTCTTCAAGAAGCTGAAAAAACTACAAGCAAGGTCAATACAAAGAAAATCACACAAAGACACATCAAAGTCAAAACACTGAAATAAAATAAAAAGCAGTCAGGACAAAAGACATATTATATTCACAGGAAAAACAAAAACAATAATGGCTGAATTCTGAAAAGAAACAAAAGAAACCAGAAGACAAGGAAATGACATCTTTAAAAGTACTGAAAAAAACAAAAAAGCTTCCAAGCTAGAATTCTATACTCAGTTAAACTATTTAAAATGAAGGCAAAGTAAAACACAATTTCAGTAAAAAGAGAGAGGAAGGAGGGAAGGGAAGGAGGGAGGGAGGGAGGAGGATGGGAAGGAGGATCTGAGAGAATTCATACTAAAAGGAATGTGAAATACTAAAGAAAGTTTCCTCAAACTGTAGGAAAGATGAATGTCCCTATCAGAAATATGCATCTTCAGAATGAAATGAAGACACAAGAAAGGATCAATATGTGAATAAACATGAAAGTCTATTTAGAAAACTTTTAAAGACCACTTAGTGCTCAGAAAACAAAAATAATGTATTTTAAAGACTGTAACACATGTAAGAGTAAAATAAATAATAACAGCATTAAATCTAGACAGGCACCAAATAAAACTAAGTATTAGAGCTCTTATATGGTCTGTGAAGTGGTAAAATACTAATTCAAAGTAGACTATTATGATTTAAGGATGCATACCATAATTACTTTCTAAAAACCCATATTATGCTGCAAATGTAACTAGAAGCCAATAGTGAAGATAACGTAGTTAAAAATTGATTTTCCAAAAGAATAAAGCAAAAAAAATAATAAACAGATGGTGTAAGTAGAGAAAAAAGAGTAAAAGACAGACATAAACCCAACTATGCTGGTTACTGCATAAAATGATTTAAAGACACATTGTCAGACTGGATCTTAAAATAAATAGGACCTAACTAATAATTATCAGAGGTATTATAAATATAATAACAAAAATGAATTGGAAGTGGATGGATGGTAAAGGTATGCTATTTAAACAGTAGCCATAAGAAAGAAACTAGTGTGTTCCTGTTACTCATACAAAGTAAAACTTAAGACAAAGAAGGTTACCCAAGACAAACACTTCATAATGATAAAATAGAAAAGGTGAATTCATTAGTAAGACACCTTCATAACTTCAAATGAAACAAAAATCAATAGACCTAAATCCACAAATCTCCCTCCATAATTGCTAAATCAAGTAGGCCAAAAAAATATAAAAGGATATAGAATATTTGAACACTACTAGCTGAATTTACTTAAAATGACATATACAAATCTCTGCAACCAATACCTGTTGTATAGACATTTTTTCCAAGTAGACTTGGTATATTTGCACAAATAAGCCCCATATTGAGACATAAAGCAAGACTCAATTCATTTCACAAGACTGAAATCAGAATGTTTTCTAACACCAATGAACAAACTTCTAAATAACCAAAATAAATATCAGAAAATAATTTAAAATGGCAGTTAATAAAAATATAATATATAAAATTGCTAGATATAAGAACATACAAAAATAATCAAATATTTACATCCTAGCAACAAACCAAAAAAAATGAAAAATTTGAAAACTATTTATTAGCAACAGTAGCAAAAAATCGAGTACTTAGAATAAATTTAATGAAAGAGGTTCAAGAAATATACAGCAAAAACTACAAACATAGCTGAGTAATTAAAGACTCAGATAAATGGAGAGCTATGCCATATAAATGGATCAGGTACTCAGTATTGTTAATTCCCCAGAAATTGTTTTACAGATTTCTCATAGTCCCAATTAAAATCCCAGCAGCCTTTTTTTTTTAACATTCTTAAGATGATTTTAAAATTTATATGGAAAAGTAAAAGGTCCTAGAAAGGCCAAAAGAGTTTGAAAAAGAACAAATTGAGGGCTTACACTACCTGATTTCAACACTTACTACAAAGTAACAATAGTAAATAAAGTATAATATTTGGGCTTACAGGCCAATAGAACAGCAGGGTAAAGTTGCAACATTTAACCTAGATTTTGAATATAGAGGTTGAAAAGGAATTAAGGTTTGAAGGCTATTTAATATCTGTCAAGCACTTTAATAGACTACTTTAATTAATCTTAATTTTATTTTCACAACCAGCTTGCCAAGTAGTTTTTAATACTACTCTTTTAGTGATGAGGAAACTATTGATCAGAATTTAGCCTAAGGCTACAAAATTAACACATGGGGGAACTGGGATATGCATCTAAGTCTATCTGGTTCCAAAATTCCTAGGTTTCTACTAGAAAAAGGGTGGAGGAGCAGAGTAATGAGAAGAGGGGACAGATTCTTTACCCACAGGAGAGAGAAATCACGTTATAACACAGGTGAAGAATAATGAAGACAGGTCTCTCACTGTCTGGGTCAAGAAAAACAAAAGGGCCACAGACAATTCTAATGGTAAAACATTTGGATACATCAAGAGAAGGAAATTTGGAGGAAAAAAAACACTTGGGTTATGTAATGTTCCTTCTGCTTCTGCCTCTCGGGTCTACCTAGCTTCAAAGCAGCTTCAAACCTTCTCTTGTAAAATCTGAGTGAAAAGCCCGTATCTATCATGATTTTTGAATCACTCAGTGTACGAAGAGGGTATCCAAGATACTGGGGATATATCACTACAGGGAGATGTCAAGTAATTTAAAGTACAAGCAGTTTTAATAGGTCCACATAAAGTTATTCACCCAGTGGGACATTAGTAAGCATAATGCTAGCAGAGGCTTGTTTAGCACATGCACACTGGGCTTGTCCTCTTGAAATTCTCCCTTTTGGAACCCCAAGCTCCCAAATTAAGAGATCTGGCTGCCCTGCTGAGAGACTAGGCACAGAGAAAGAGGTACACGGCCAGCTGCCCAGGTGTCCCAGCTATCTCACCTGAGGCCCCAGGCATGTGACTGAATCCATCCTGTATATCCAGCCCCAGCTGACCTTTCAGAGAAATGGGGTGCATCATACTTGATTCACAAGATAAGCAGAAGGAACCACTCGAGTGGGCCCAGCCAAGAATGCAGAATGATAAGCAAATAAATGAAGTGGTTTATGCTGCAATAGATATCTGATAGACCTTTTAGTAAACAGATTACTGTGTGTGGGTGGGGGAAAGTTTGCTAATATGCATGTGTGTTCTCATTACTTCTCATACGCTAGACCTGCACAATCTCAGGAAAAAAATACTGTGTATTGTTAGTTACAATACAAATGACGAGAGCATCACAAACCACTTGGTAAGCATAAATGGATTTTTTATTCAGTTACATGTACACATTTCTGTTATAAAACATGTTTTTAAAATCAACATTCTCTACTGCATAATGTGTCCTGTTAGACATCTTATTTTGGAAATCACTTGGTTGGTTATGAAATGTTACCAACTGTTAAAATGGAAGCAAGTACATCTCCAGTATAAAATGTATTCTATATGTGGGACTGAGGTAGGTTGTTTTTAAAGACATACTATTTGGCTTAATTCTTTTTTCTCTTTATACACACTTATTCCTTTACCTTCATCCTTTTCAAAGGATTATTCAGCTCTCGCTGGAATGAAGCTGCTCTTCCTGAAAGAAAGGTCTGAAAGGCAGCAGCCAACAAATTTTCATACTTTTCAAGCAGAGTTTTATCTTCAGGAGGATAAATTCGTCTACAATAAAGTCAGATAAACCAACTTGTGTAAAAGAAGCTATTACATTGTAAGACTTAAGTCAACTACATAGATAATCCATGACAACTTATTCTGCCAGGCACTTCCATAGGTGTCAGAAATAAAGATGTATACGGTTATGAAAAATTCATAAATTGTCACCTGTCATGCACACAAATTAAAGTTTATCTAGAGAATTATCTTAAACACATGATACAAGAAAAAGGTTTAGTGGAAGGCAGGTGGTTGGACACTCATTGCAATCGGGCTTACTGAAGAACTGTAAAACTCTGTGGGAGAAAGTTTAGGTGACGGGGGATAATTTGGAAGTTTCGGATCTAGTGTGGTGGCTGAAGCAAACAAGAAGATAGAGAGTGACCCCAACGGTCTTTTGGGGAGGTGGAATTTGCCTCTCTGGGAGAGGGAATTGGGCAGAGGTAGGGTGACAACGGATGCTGCTGGCATCACTGTGCTGATGGTGTTAAGGACAGGAAAGAACGTCTTGCTGTGAGTGCAAGCTCCGTGGCCCCAGTCCTCCCAACTCTGCTGAGTCACTGTCAAAGCTTGAGAGGAGGGACACTCTTTCAAAGACGACAGGGAACTTAGGGAAGCACCCTATCATCCTGTCAAAGCGGATACTGGGGGAGAGTTCCAGTTCAGCAGGGTCCACGTGCATTCTATCGTCTCATACCTGGCTCTTTCAAACACTTTCATTACTTGCTTGGTCCCTGGTATATTAGAGTTTAAAACAAAATATAGCGACCACTTTGAATTGATAGAAAGAATACTAGGAAACCTGAAACCTGCCTTTCTCAAAATACCACATTGTAACCAAATAAGGTGGCAGGGTAATATCAGATTTAAAAGGCCTCACATAACCACCCTCAAGGCTGGCTGGCAGGGGTCTCCCAAGTCTGAACCATCTACTTGTTGATGACCTTTCATTATAGAAAAATATTACACAAAAGCACTTTCTTAAAATAAAATAAACAGTGTTTAAAACAAGCTTAAAGGGTTACAAAATGTTGACTAATTGTTTTGACACTTAACTTGCAAAATCTACGTAAAAAGGAAGCATGCTCACCTATAATTCCCCATATGGCGATTTTCATGTTCTTCTTTAGAGATCTGCTTTCGTACTTGAGCAAGTCTCTCTTTCTAGAATAAAGAAATTTTACAAATAAAACCTGACAAATGAATTATGCAATTCAAAATGTGGGTGTGTTAAAATTTTCATACCAACTCTTCTTTCCGCCTCTCCAACTGATGTCTCTGCTGTTCCCAGTCTGAGGACCCTGGTAAGAGCCTTTTTATTGAATTTTGACCATAAAGCCTCCTTTGAGCCTCAGCTTTTTGTCTGGCCAAGTTTCTCCTTTTATCACTGGTCCTAAAATATAAAACACAAGAGCATATTCCAGAATTCACCAGACTCTGACCATATCCCTGTGAGGAGAATTAGCAGAAAAGGAGACACATAAAGATGAATCAATGTTTATTAAACTATATATCCATATTATGTCCATCTAATCATCCATCAAATAAGTGTCTCCCTATAGTACATATAAGTTCTGAAGGTAACAGAATAAATTGGAAATAGTATAACAACTTACTATCAGTACAATCTTAGGTCAATTACCTATTGAGTCTGTTTCCCCATCTATTAAATGTTAACAAAAATGTTTCCCTCCCACAGTTCTCATAAACATTAACTTATGGTAACATTAATAGGTCCATAATAGATGCTGGTCCCTTTCCCCTTCAACCAATTCCATTCATATTTAAGCATTCTCACTTACACTGACCACCCAACTATATTTCCAATGCTGAATGAAATCCAAGCCTAACAATCACTATTTATTTGAAAACTTCTGTAGAGTCCTCATTTTTGTCCAATCTTGAAAACTGAGTTACAGTTGTCTGATTTTTATAGGAAAAGTCCTGTTGTGAGATTGCTTTCCTATGAAACTCGTTCCTCTCCCTTCCACCCGACATAGCTGTGTCGGGTGGCGAGTTCTTGTTTAATGAGTAGTTTCAGTTTTGCACAATGAAACGTTCTAGAGAAGGATGGTGGTAATGGTTGCACAACAATGTGCCCGTACTTAATGCCACTGAAGTGCACAATTAAAAATGATTAGGATAGTAAATTTCAGGTTAAGTATATTTACCCAAAAATTTTAAAAATGAGTTGACAATCACCAGAAGAACAAAGCTAAAAGTACATTTAAATGAGAGTATGCGCAAAACCATGACCATGTGAAACAGCACCACACAAGTATTCTTAGAAAAATTAATTCCAAGGCAGGGAAAAGAACAAAAAGTGATCATACTGGTGAGAGATGCCTGGGCCAGACAAAACACTGTCTCATATACAATCTAAGATCAAAAAAATGCCTTGATGTAATGTTCAAACTTTATCTGATTGTGTGGAAATTATGTGATTAGAATATCAGAATTTATAAAAATTGGCATTCCAATGTTGGCATTCCTCTGGGCTCTGACGCCTGGGCCCCTCTTCACTCCTCAATTTATACAGCCCGACTGCGCGCTCTCATCCATTAGACTCGAAGACAATCTGTGCACGGATGTCAGTCACACAGACATCCTGTCTCCTGGGGCACCGTATATCAAATTTCCCATTTAACAATTCTGCCTGAGGTCTCAAAGCGCCTCAACATTAGCAGGTTTAAAACTGGTCTCTCTCTCTCTCTCTCTCTCTCTCTCTCCCCCCCCTTCCCCCATCACTCCTCTAAATCTGTTTCTCACTTAAAATTTGTATCTAAGTCGATGATGTATCCTCAAACAGGGCACCCAAGCTAGAGACCTAGGAATCACGGAGACGTTGAATTATTAGCGCCCGCTGCAATGGTAGTGGGCACTCAGCAGTAGACACTTGTGAAATGGCTTGCAGAGCACCAGAGTGGAGGCTGAAAATGGGGAGGAAGTTAGTGCTAGAAGAAAAAAGAAAACTAGTAAAATAATCCAGAAGAGAAATGAGAAGTCCTTTAACTTGGCGAGACTAAGAATTAAGTGGCAGTCATACAAGTGACAGGCCTCAGCTGACTCCTGATAAGGGGCGGATATAAAAACAACTCCCAGCTTTCTAGCCTCAACATTTATATGGGTGGTTTTACCATTAACTAGAAAAGCAAAGAAAGACAAAAAACTAGGTTTGAGTGATTATAATTGTATGTGCATAGTTTTCTATGAGCATATAGTGTCCCTTTCAATAATTGAGACACCTAAGGAGGAAAAATTTCACTCATTTTTATATCTCTAGCTTCAAGTACAATATGAGCTAAGAATGTACATTAAATACGTGGTAAGATTTTTCATTTGTGGTTTGGAGACTATTGACATCATTAGCAGAAGAAAGGAGAGAGACCCAGCAAGAAAAATATGATTGAAGGAGAAGATAATTCAACTTGTGGTCATGTTGAATTGAAAGTGTCATCAGGACATTCATCCATTCAGTCATTTACATACTTCCTCTCGGGCTTGTTCACTGACTGTTTACAAATTAATTGATCCCATTAGACCAGAAACTTTTGCAAATGCAAGATCAGAGCTCAAGAGTGGGTCAGAGGTATTGAGAGTAACCCCAACATATGCCTCAATCAGCTGGAGATTTGGGGCTCCAGTGTCTGACTCCCATGGTGCCATAAGTGAGTGAGACTGACATAAAAGAAAAGAATACAGTGATAACCATGACAAGTAGGGGGAAGAACATAAATGAACTCATAGAAAACAGAAATGCTTCCAGTTAAATGAACTCAGGAAAGTGTCAAAGATGCCAGCAAGGATAAATTTTCAAGGGCAGGGGTGCATAAAATGCTGCAACTTCATATACCTCTAGCCTATGAACTAGTTATAAAAAAGAATCAGGTAATCTAATGTAATCTAATCTAATCTAAAGTAATTAAGTTTACTTAATTAAACTTAATTAATCTTAATTAGTTAAACTTAACTTAATTAAACTAAACTAATCAAGTGCAGTATATCAGACCCATGGAACTCATGGAACTACAACTACCTTTTCTAGGCTCTATTTTAAGGATTCTAATATAATACTTGCAAAAAAAAAAAGACTTTTCTTATCAACACACGACTACTCTAACTATACAAGATTGTATTTTCCTTTTATTACCAAAAAAATACTTTTTTTTACTTATTACTATTTTACTATTGGTTATGATTTTATTTATTATTCTTTTCCTGTTCTGCATATAGCCCCTCTTGTACTCTCTTGTCTCTGAAGACCTAAGCCAAATGATTCAGAAAATTATTTGAATCTGAACTCAAACTGCATTGTACCATCCAAGTACAAAGCAGATCAATTCTGACCCACCAATATTAGGTTCGGTGTTTTCATGGGTTGTGATGGAATACGCTGAGCAATCTACACTCTTCCAGATTTTGAGACTAAAAGTATATATTTGCACTATGAATCTGGGGGATACATACGGAACCATACTGTAAGTAAAGCAGTATATTAAAAATTGGGTAGAATATCAACATATATACTCTATGACTTCAAGGAGCTTAAATCAAATTGAAAAGAAAAATTAGCCATGCCCAAGTAAAACAGCACAGAACATAAAAGAGTGAACAATGTGATAAGCCATGTACTATGCAGACTATAATTCCTCTAGGAGCTCAAAGAAAGAAAAAGATTAACTTGTGCTTAAAAGAAGATACCATAATAAAGGATGGAATTTGAGTGATAGGCAGTAGGGGAAGGAATTCAGGGTGAGATATAGAATAAATCATCAATGAGAATAGCCAAGACATAGACATATGAGAACAATAATAAGATAATCAGCTTAACTAAATTTGGGTTGGAGAGAAATAGGAAATAAGGTGGAAAAGCTAAGGTTAAGTTTTATTATGAAAGGAGCTTAGACTAAGTGTTGCCAAATAGAAGTCCATTTAGGTTCTTGAGCAGAAGGACAACACAATAAAAAAAGATCATTGTGATAATCTGATTAAAATGAATATAAATAAGGAATCACAGAAGAATTTATTCTATCAAAAGTAAAATAGTCCATAGAAAAATTAATCCAATAATAAAATTTTCCTAATGTTTTTAGGTCCTACTTATGTCCCCATAATGTGCCCATCTCATACTTAGCCACAGTGAAGTACAAGTCTACATTCTATGCCCACAGAGTTCTCCATCTGGTTGGAGAGAAAAGACACAGCTACAACATAAGCTTCATTAGCATATGCTCTAAATGTTAAGAACTGTACTAAATTCCTAAGTGGAACAACACTAAGAAAAACAAGGAAGATGAAGTCCAACACTCCCATTGTTTTAAATCTAGAAACATCTCATTGTTTAAATGTGTACCTCTCACTTTTAAGAAGACCAAAAACACCCATGGAGAAGGTCCTGAATTGGTTCCATCATTGGCAGAGTCAAAAGACTTGCCAAAAACAAACAAGCAAACAAGCAAAAAACCCCAAAACAAAAATACAAGGCTTACTTATACAATAATAGTACATACAAAAAAAAAAAAAGTATAGGCATATTACTTAAGCATTCCAAAATACTGATGCTAAGCTAAATAAACAAAAATTTCTCATTCTACATCTCTTTTCTTTCTATTTATTTCTCTTATCATAACTGAAATATCAACAGAATTTAGGCAAATCATCCTTTTATCAGGCAAAAGAAGGAGTCATATAAAAATTGTTGGACAAGTTTATATTTCTATCTCTTTTTTAAATGATGCTTTCCATTAATCAGGCATCTCCTAAGTGCTTGGAAAACATTCAAAATAAATAAATTGCTTGGAAGCATCCCAAAACTTCTCTAGAGCTCTTAAAATAACAAGTAGAAACTGAAATCATAAACCCCTAAGAATAAATTACCTCTAAGGTCCTTTAATCCAACAATCTAAATGCTGTTTCAAAACTTTAATTGCAAACAACTCATTACTTCTTTGAGAAGTTCAGTTAAACTTCTAAAAATTTTATTTCATTAGGAGCCAAAAGCTTTCCCATATAATAGCATTTCAAATATCTGACATCCATGACCACATATACGGTACCCAGAAACCCCACTTCTGGGTATATATATCCAGAGGAGCTGAAATTAGGATTCAAAGAGAGAGCTGTACTCCCATATGCACTGCAGCATTATTCACAATAGCTGAGACATGGAAGCAACCTAAATGTTCATCAATGGATAACAGATAAAGAAAACGTGGTGGCCCTGACTGGTGTGGCTCAGTTGGTTGGGCACTGTCTCACAAAATGAAAGGTCACTGGTCCAATTCCTGGTCAGGGCACATGCTTGGGTTGTGGCCAGCCCCCAGTCGGGGCACATGTGACAGGCAAACCACCAATCGATGTTTCTGTCACACAGCGATGTTTCTCTCCCTGTCTTTCTCCCTCCCTTCTCTTGTCTCTGAAAATAAATAAAATTTTTAAAAGAAAAAAAAAGGGAACTCCCACCTACTCTTTTCGATGGGAAGATTAGCCCTCATTTAATGACTGCCTGTCTTTTCTGTTTACTCAGACAGCAAGACAAAGAGGCAAGATCTCTGGGAGAAAGATAGGAAATCAATGTTTGAGTTGTTTTGGTTTTTTTTTTACTTCCTGAATGACCTGCTTTAGTTTCTTCTTATAAAGTGAAGAAGATAACCTAGAAGGTATCCTAAGGTATTCTTCAATTCAACCTCAAACTCTATATGAAATAATTGTACCAATACTGTAACTTAACCATTATTTACTATAGAATCAGAGCATTAAATAAGAAAAGGGAAAAACAAAAAGTGTGTTACAAGAGGAGAAAAGACATTTAAAAAGAAAAAATCTAAATGGATTTGAAGAATGGAATCAAGAAATTCAAAATATAAAACACAAAACTTTCAAGCCAATCCCACATACAAATGAATGTTCTATGTCAAAGGTGGTGGAAAAAAAATCCAAAAGACGGAGGAGAGCCTTTACCTGATGTTTAGCAGCTTCAGTGCATTTAGCAGCACTCCTCTTTTCACATCATAGTCGATTTTCTGATCAGTTCCAAAGCTTGGAGCTCGATTGATCTAAAATTTACAAAGAAAACAACGAAAGTAGCCAAATGTGGGTAGGCCAAAAATATTCCTATTTGTTCATCTTTGGTTCTATTTTATTGATTATACTATTACAGTTGTGCCCATTTTTCCCCCTTTGTCCTCCTCCACCCTGTACCCACCATCCCTCCGGCAATCCTCCCCTTAGTTCATGTCCACAGGTCATGCATGTAAGTTCACTGGCTGTGCCATCTCCTCTATTGTTCGTAACATCCCCATCTATTCTGAACCTACCAATCTGTACTTCTTAACCCCTGCACCTTTTCCCTCATTCTTCCCCTTCCACCTCCCAATTTTAACCCTCTAAAGGATCTCCGTATCTATGATTCTGTTCCAGTTCTGTTTATTTCCTTAGTTTGTTTTTCAAATTCAATTGTTGATAGTTGTGAATTTGTCATTTTAATGTTCATAGTTTTTATCTCCTTTTTCTTAAGCTCTCTTAGCATTTCATATAATAATGGCTTAGTGACAATGAACTCTTTCAGCTTTGCCTTGTCTGGGAAGCACTTTATCTGCTCTTCCATTCTAAATGATAGCTTTGCTGGATAGAGTCATCTAGGTTTTAGATACTTGCTTTTCATCACTTTCAATACTTCTTGCCCATCCTTTCTTGCTGCAAAGTTTTTTTTGAGAAATCAGCTGACTGCCTTATGAGAACTACTTTGCAGGTAACTCTGCTTTTCTCTTGCCACTTTTAAGATTATCTCTTTATCTTTAAGCTTTGGCATTTGAATTATGATGTGCTTGGTGTGGGCCTCTTTGGGCCCATCTTGTTTGGGACTCTGCTTCTTGGGCTTATATGTCTATTTCTTTTACCAAATTAGGGAAGTTTTCTTTCATTTTTTTTTCAAATAAGTTTTTAATTTCTTGCTCTTTCTCTTTTCCTTCTGGCACTCCTATGATTTAAATGTTGAATGTTTGGAGTTATCCTGGACACTCCCTTAACCTATCCTCGTTTTCTGAATTCTTTTTTCTTCTTGCTGTTCTGATTAAATGTTTTTTTTTCTTCCTTATGTTCCAAATCATTGATTTGATTCTCAGTTTCATCCACTCCATTGTTGAGTCCCTGTAAATTTTTCTTTATTTCACTTTGTATAACCTTCATTTATGCCTAAGTTTTTTTGTTGTTGTTGCAGTACCTGATGAGTTCCCTGAGCATGCTAATAGCCTGTGCTTTGAACTCTGCATCTGATAGATTGCTTATCTCCATTTTGTTTTGTTCTTTTTCTGGAGTTTTGTTCTATTCTTTCATTTGGGCCATATTTCTTTGTCTCTTCATTTTGGCAGCCTCCTTGTGTTTGTTTCTATGTATTATATAGAGCTTCCTTGACCCCCTGTGTTTGTAGTGTGGCCTATTGTAGAAAAGCACACCTATAAGTTGGGTGGCGCAGAGCCTTAAGTAATTGCCAGGGTGGGACAACCCATGTGAACCAGGTTGATGGAGTCTCAGATACGGTGTCTATGCTCTGTGCCTCTGTGTGGAGGAGAGCTCAGAAAAAGGACTATGGCTGATGGCTGGGCTCTGGGATTTTATCCAGGAGGAAGCTGTCCCTCAGCACTCACCCTGATGCCCAACACTTCACTTTCTCCCCAGGTGCCACTGGTGCCCCTCCAGCTGCTGCCCCCATGCTAGCGCCCAAAGGGAGTGAGTCTGCGTACATCCTAAGTCAATTTTTGACCCTTTAGGAGGAGACACCTGAGAATCCCAGTTTCTTCTTCTGCCCCAACCCCCATTGGTCTTCACAGCCAGAAGTTATGGGGACTTTTCTTCCTGCACTGGAACCCTGGGCTAGGTGGTCTGGTGAGGGGCTGAAAACCCTCACTCCTGAGGTGTCCCTCCCAATATTTATCCACCATACATAGGTGTGGGACTGCTCATTCTGCATCTGTGCACCTCTGCATCTCTGCAGCTCCATGTCTCCACCCCTCCTACCCATTCTGGATGAATATGACTTCTTTAATTCCTTGGTTGTCAGACTTCCATACACTTGATTTTCTGATGATTCCAGGTGATAGTTGTTTTGTATTTTAGTTGTAATTTTTGCTATGGTTTTGCAAGGAGGAGAGCTCTGTTTACCTATGCCTCCATCTTGACCAGAAGTCTAAGACCATATTTGTTACGTTCATGTGGGATCCCCAACCAGAAGGACTCTACAATAAATCTCAAAGCTCTACATGGTAGATGCCTGGTTACTATCGCCATGCCTCCCTTCGCCATCACCCTATGTCAGAGAGCTGCAAGGAACTGTCATCCCAGTCCCCTTCCCCTGCTGCTTTGGCTCTGGATCTTCAGTCAGCAAATCTGCTCCCTCCTGCCTCCCCACTCTCTCCAACCGATTACCCCATGCCCTCTAAGTTTTAAGTTTAGAGATGTTAAAGTGACTCATCCTGTATAATAATAATAATGTAAGAAAAATAATATGCACATTACCAATACAGTAATAATTACATGCATGTATGCACTTAGCATATAGACACTATCAGTGCCCTCTTTTCACTGCCTCAAATCTTCTGGCTAAACTCATCTGTTGCTGCCTAAAAAACAAAGTTTGCTTCTTTTAGCAGGATCACACAAGATTCATCAATTTTTATTTCCAAAGGCACTGACTACTTTATTACTCTGAAGATACCATTAAGGGCAGCTGCAGATTAAATTCTATGAGCTTTCCTAACTGTACAAGGACTCATGGGAATAAGTGAGCCATTTGTGGTTGCTCTACATCATTTCCGACATCATTGCCAGGATTTCATTAAGACAAAAAATAAAAGTAACTGTATGTACCTGGAAAGCCTTTAGACAATATACTACCACTATAAGAGCTGGAATTTTGTTATTGTCTTTGTTGTTGTTGAACTTTGTTGTCGCTGTTATGAAAATGTAACTGGAATAGCAGGTGTTTAAGAAAATTCCTTACTCAATTCAGCTGGTTAGAACACTGCTGAGTTCAGCAGCTTAGTTTCATGACCACCAGATAACTCCACAGGTTACACATACATTTTTACATGTATGTGTAAAAACATGCATGCTACTGGTCATAGAAGAGGGTAGTCTTACACAAATCCGTCACAAGAGACGAGATAACCGAGGGCATGCATTTTACAACTGGCAGCTAATAGAGAAATACCACATTACACTTGAGAAATCATCCAGGAATACAAACGCCTCTGATTAGGAGTGTGACACAGGATCACTGCAGAAAAATTAGTACTAGATAGAAGTTAAACAAACAACAAAAAGATCACCCGTAATCTGACTAACTAGTGTATTGTTAACCATGTAATAAATGGTAGTCCGGATATTTGCTATACAGACTTACTTGTAATATTCATTTTACCTTCTCAATACAAGTCTGTATTAATTCAACTAATTTATAATACAGGTTTTTCTCTTAACAATGTATCCTGAAAATCTTTCATGCCATCATTTTGATGGGTGCCTGATAGTCTTTTTATAAAGATATGCCAAATTGTATTTTTATAGAGATATGCCATACTGAATTATTCCTTTGCCAATTTCTGATTTAGAAAATGATTAACATATTCCTGTCTGTGCGCTCTGCTCTTCAGGGAAGGGAGTAGCTTGGTAATTGCAAGAATATCCATTTATTCCAGGTAAATTTGAGAAACGGAGTTTATTAATGTGCTACTTCAAAGCTCTAAGTATTATCTCTTACAAGTGCAGGGAAAGGGTAATGTATTTTAAATGAAAAAAGCTTTAACCATTCCATAGTGACTCAAATCTCTGGAATTTGCAATACAATTAATGGTAGTTCTGCTATTACATATAACAGGATTATAAAATAAACCAGACATTTAGGACTGATGATTAAGTGGCTCACTGGAATGTTTTCTATCTGTATAGAATTCCTTAGGTGTTCTACTCTAAAACAGCAGTCTGGAATTCTGCCAGGCATATCCCTCCCCCAGGATGGTAATGATGTTTGGTACCACACAATATCATACCCCTCTGTCTTGTCTAATGCAACTTCTTCCCCTACTGGCATATAAAAGAAATTGGTCTATGAAGAAATGTACCAAATTAAACTAACATATAAGAAGGTAGAAAAACTTTCTTCAATTAAAATTTTAGATTTTTCTTAAAGTTTTATGAGAAAAGTTAGAGAAAAAAATAAAAGAACCACAAATGGCTGACAGAAGAAACTCTGAAAATTATGCTTCCATACAGCCAAAATTTTACTCTGCAATGTTGATGGCTTCTTTAACTCACACTGCCTATCCCACTTCTAAAACAGACAAACCCTAGCAGATGTTACAGTCTTAAAGCTCAGCAGCTTGTAAATACATGTCTAAATCATAGCTGTATCATCAAAACAAGCACAATCATTTCATACACATAAAAAAGTATGCATAATAGATTCTGTGCTCCTAAATTAGTGCTATTTCCTCTGCCCAGTAACTCCCCCCCCACCCCATCCCCATTTCTCCAGGCCCCAAGCCCCATCCCACTTCCCCTGCTCAGTAGGTTCCTCTCCTGCAAAGATTGTTTCGACTCTTAAATATATACATGTACAAAGAGAAATTAATCATTCTATTGTTTGTGCTGGTACTCTGTCCCACATTTACACCTACAACTATTACCATAAAACACAAAATCTGAGTCCCCAAAATACCAGGACACATATTATTCTCTTTGCATTTCCACCACCTGGCATAATCATTTATTGCAATTAATTCAAGGATACTTAAGCCCTGGCTGGTGGCTCAGTTGGTTGGAGTGCCGTCCCATACACCAAAAGGTTGCAGGTTTGACCCCCAGTTGGGGGCATATGGGAGGCAATCAAAAAATCTCTCTCTCTCTCTCTCTCCCCCCTCCCCCCATCTTTATCTCGCTCTCCCTCCACCTCCCTCCCCTCTTCCACGCTCTCTAAATCAATTTAAAAACATATCTTTGGGCGAGGATTTTAAAAAAGAGTTTTTTAATAAAGTGTTCATAATTTTAAAAGGCCAACTTTTAATCATTTATTTTCAAAATATGTACAGCTCTGGTCGGGTAGTTCAGTTGGTTAGAGCAGCATCGCCTGCACCAAGGTTGCAAGTTTGACCTCTGGTCAGGACACATAGAAGAAGCAATCAATGAATACAACAAATCAATCTCTCAGCCTCCCTCTCTCTCTCTTTCTCATTCTCCCCCTTCCTCTCTCTCTAAAAATAAGTAAACATACATCATCCTCAGGTGAGGATTAATTTTTTAAAATTTCAAATTGCTAAAAAACAAGCATACTTAAAGTATTAGAAGCATATTCATACTCTACCCAATTTCCACATTCATCCCTAAAAATGTTTTCTATGCTTGAAAATTTCTGCAATTTACCACCATAAATCATTACAGGCAATTATTCCAGTGAACAGTTATCACATTCTCAGAAGCACCTTCTACCTCAGTCCACTGGATGGCGCCAAAAGGTCATTAACTACATATTAGAACCTACACTAGCAGCTGGGAGAAAACACAAGGAAGATCTATATAAACTTCTTCCTGGCCTAGAAATTCAATACGAATTTGGGAAAAGTCATATGAAATATATATCGATCCTTTTTTAGAACTGTTCTATCCCATGAATTTTCATTCTCTTCTTCCCACACACCGTTTTCAGGCCTCCTTCTGCTCAGTTAATGAGACAACTGTGCCAAGTACACATTTTAAAAAACATTTGTTTTAGTACACAAGAACAGCGGTAACATCTCTTCCTTCTTTTTTAAAGAGAAAAAAAAAAAAAAGCCTTACCTCCAGAAGCCATGGCTTTAGTTTTCTGTCCAACAAAATATCAAATCCCAGGACTTCGAAGCAGACACTTTCACTTCCGGGAGGCTGACCAGGCCGGCACATTCGATACGCGTGCAGGACGTGAGGTTCTGCCACAATCAGAGTCTTAACAACCAATTCCTGCAAGTACAGATTTTTTTAAGGTGAAATGCTTTCTTTCTTTCTCATTTACGCATGTGGCAATAAGGCCTGGACTTACAAACTAGCCCCGCAGCGTGTAGCCCCCGCCACGGCTCTAGCTTCGGCCCATCCAGCCTCCCCTGCCCCCTAAGCTCCAGCCTTGCTTGCCTTCCCTGGGCTCCGGGTAGCAGCGGTTCCCTAGTCCCGGAACACTCTTGCTCCCCATATTCCCATGTCTGAGTCCTCGATATTCAGAGAGGCCTTCCCTGGCCCTGGAGTCAAAACTGCCACCCATCACCCTTCCCACGTCACTACATAGCATAGAACCCGCTGACTGTTTTCTTGTTTTGTTGGAGCAGGGTCCTCATCTGTCTTATTACAACCCCATTTCTGGTGCCTACAATAGTGCCTTGCATTTAGTAGGTGCTCAAACACGTTCGTGAATAAATCAGTAAGCTATTTTACAAACAATGGTAGAGAACCTCCACTTAGACAAAGGCTGAAAAGAGCTAAGACAGAACTGGGCTAGGGGAACTGGGTTTCTTTGCGCAGTGATGATTCCGCAGTTCATAAAGTGTATCTGAGATGAAAGTACTGCCAATTCATGAACTAGTTATCATCATTTCCTGTGAGGACAAATAATACTATTAAGGTGGAATAAATAATAATTTATTAAGTGTTGAGTAAGTGCTTACTTATAGATTATTAATATACATTCTAACTAATGAAGTAAAAAATGATACACAATTTAGCCATTTATAGAAGAGATCATGAATGTGTCAGAGCTTAATTGACCATATCTGAGAAGTCCACTTTAGGTTCTAACAGAAAATTTATTTCCTACCCTATTAATAATAGCAGTCTTACTTCTGTACCTTCTCCTAATTTAACTATGTAGGGAAAGTACCACTTAAAAGCAATGTAAGTAAAGCTAAAGATGCTCACTTTTCTTGGCTTGACTCTCTATACCTACTTCACTAAGGCAGCCCAACATGAAATGAATGACATGAATGAACATGAATGTCTTTTCACAAAGACATTCCCATACGGACATGAAATATTTAGTAAAGAAAAAAAGCATATCAGAGGGTATATAAAACTTCCTTGGCCTCACTGGGCTGTCCATCAAATGACCCACTCGTTAAATCGTCCAGGTAATATCACGTACGATCTTCCATCAAAAAGCTACTCTCCAAAAATAACAAATTTCTTCCCTCTGATTCTCCTGACCAACTATGATGGTAAACCTATCATTATTAGAACATTTTTTGTAATTTCAAAAAAATTGGCCTTGCTAAAATAAATAAACAGGTAAGTTAAATAAACACAGCATTGCTGTAATCAAATTCTTGTTTGGATGTTTTTAGTCTCTCAGGAAGATATAATAGAAAGTTAACAAGTTGGTGGGCATCAACCAAATCCAGCTGATGACCATTAGTCAGGGAGCCCCTGCATTTTTAAAGCATTTGAATGTGTTTATTAATTTTTAATGTGAGTATTTGTGAATCAGGGGATTTATGACTTTTGACAAATTAGAAGAATGAACCACACTGGGCCCAAAATACCATATGCATCAACATACTAGTGCTGAGCGGTATCTATGTTCTTCAGACCTATTATGCTCTTTAATTTACCATAGTTCCCAGCACACCCTGTTTGCTTCTATGCAGAGACGACTTCATTCTTTTGTACTTGTCTGATATCTAATAACTTTGGATTTCCATTCTGTGGTGTGAAAAAATAAGGAGTGAAAAACTCAACCAACAAAATAATCAACAAAAAGATAAATATAATGATGCTGATTTTTCTCTATGATTTTCTCAAGACCAAGTTCAACTACCAATGAACTTTCATGTCCATTTTCCATGATAGATTCATTTAAATTATGTATTATTCGTTTCCAAAGGAAAACCAAATAAAATTTTATAGCTCTAATCATATTGTGTTTTCAACAGAATTCTAACTCTGAATACAATTTTCATACTTCTGCAAGGATTAGTAAAGGGTCTGTTTCATCAAGGTCATCTTTCAGAGCTTTTCCTTTCCTCTCTTTTCCATTTGGAATTTCATCCACTGCCATTGCTTTAAATATCAACTCCACCACAAATGTACCCTTCTGACTGACTGACTGATCTTTCTACCTGAGACAGCATTTCAAGTTCAACATATCAAAAGTAAAATTCATCATCCTAGCCTCATGGACTTTTAGAAACATAGTTCTTAAGTCAGTGCCTCCACGAAGTCCTCCTCTCTCGCCACTCACCCAAACCTACTATATGTGGTCTTCCTTTACATCCCCACAGAATCCAATAGCATTTCTCTGCTATTTCTGTACTGGTTTTTCCTGCCAAACTCTACGTTTTTTGAGAACTGGAGCTATATCTTATAAATCTTCAAATCATCAGCCAGAGACAGGCTTATGAGTTCATCAAGTGTTTACTGAATAAATGAACAAATAGATAAAACTTTTTCCCCTCATCCACAAATCTTCTCAAAAGTAAATCCCTTCCTACTCTATTTTAGATAATGCCACACACATTCTCCCTATAATTACTTCTTAAAACTGCAGAAGAATCTTTGAACACCTCTTCCATCCTGAACTCAACTAATCCCAATGTTTACTTCACTGTGTTCAATTTAAGCCATTCTGTTCACTTAAACCGCTCCCAAGTGCCATCTTCTAACTACTCTTGAACTTCACTCTAACCCATCCTACACTCTTCTTTTTAAAGACTTTATTTATTTATTTTTTAGAGTGGGAAAGAAAGGGAGAAAAAGAGGAAGAGAAACATCGATGTGTGGTTGTCTCTTGCGCATCCCCTACTGGGGACCTGGACTGCAACCCAGGCATGTACGCGGACTGGAAATCGAACCAGCAACCCTTTGGTTTGCACTCAATCCACTGAGCCACACCAGCCAAGGCATACACTCTTTTCCAGATATATCTTTGAAACTCATAGTCCTTGGCCTTATTATTCTCCTCCCTTAAAAACTGGAACTTAAGCTTCAATTTTCAGATCTAAAATTTGGCCTCTACATATCTTTTCAGTCATATGTCCCCATGCATCTCCCACAAATACTAAATACGCAACCTGGACCACGTACCACTACCCTCATATCTCCATGCCTTTGCTTAGGCATACGCCTCCAGCTAGAATTCCCTCTTCCCCATTCCTAGCAGTGAAAATACTACTTACCTATCAAGGTCCATCACAAATTCTATTTCTTTCATGAAAACATACCTTATCTGCCCAATCTAATGTAATCTGCTCTTAATTTAAAATGCTTGGTGATATTAGGATAATCTGAGGAAAGACAGTTATGATTGTGGAATGGCAAACTCTTACTGAAATGTCACTCCAAAACTTAGAAACATCATATTGATTTGCTTGTAGGAATTCTGTAAACCATTTGATGGAGCGTTTGCTGCCTTTGTTTTCAGTTTCATCCCTTTCGAACCGCTCATTGTGCTTGTTCACAGAGTAGTTTGTCAGATGCATGTATAACTGGGTCTGTAAAGAGTAAGAAGCAAAGTTATCATCTATGAGACTGTAGAACTGTGAGACTGCACAGAAAAGAAAGCATCCAAAGATGAAAGATGATTTTGAAGTTTAAAATAGGCAGGTTGACAGTTACTTAGATAATTTCCAAATTAAGTGGAACGGCACATTTCCCTTAAATGTAGTCATCTCTATCTGCCATAAAAAGTATTAAAATAATAATATGTAAAGGAATTAAATGAAAATGTGAACTATATATTGCTAAGCAAGAAAAATGCTTTTTGTTTTTGTTTCTTTTTTGTTTTTGTTTTTACTGTGTTTGGTCACTTACAGTTTTCATCCAAATTTGTCTGGGAAAGAAATTTTCTGAGACAACATTCTATGTCTTTTCAAAGAAAAAATAACAAATGAAAGCTCAAGTAAATAGCATAAGCCAATAGATCAGATTACTGAACACAGCCTGTGCCCTCCCATACTGACAGGAAGCCCCCTTAACTCGTGAACAAGACAGGGTGCACTCAGCATCCACAGGCAATGCGGTGCCCCACACAACACTGCACAGCATCAGCACTACATTTATCGCGCTTTCATGTCAGAGTTTCTTTGTATCCTATGTCTGCTCATACTGTTTCTCGAACTTGAACAAGAATCCAAAATGTAAAACGTCTCGTAACTGTCCACTAATACACATCTAGGGGCTCCTTACTGATCTAGCGTAAACATTCGTCGTCTATAAATCCCACCTTCATGATCCTACTCCTAGAAGTTATTTTAGATAGCAACGATGCATCACAATGAATACTTGCTTCAGTCACATGATTATTACTTTGGTTTGCTAATGACCAAGTATATTGATATTTTTTTTTACTGCTGTTACTTAGGTATACAGTCTTAAAATGTTTGAAGCAAATATTCAGAACTCCTCAACTCATGTGCCCACCTCTAATTAAGAACTTTTCATTAATTAAACAATCCTTAAGGAGCCCCTACCAACAGCAGAAATTTGTGTTATGCATTGTGGATACAAAGATGAACAAGACAGACATGGTCCCTACCCTCATGAAACTTAGAAATACTTCAAATTAAGTGATACTTAAAAAAACCATAAACTTTATGCTAGTCAAATTTTAAGTACTTAATTTTTCTTAAATCAAAATATTTCCTAGTTTCCAAAATATAAATAATTTTTTCCTTTAAAAAAAAAACACTGGAAACTCATTTTTTGAGGAGCTCTTATTTGGCAGGAATTTCTTAAAATAAATCATAACAGTAATAAAAACTCTAGCTGTCCTAGGAAAAAAATGAAAAAGAAATAGCACTTTGCACTTTCCTTAAACATTATCTTTGTAAGTAGGTTTGGAGCTTTCACAGTTCCACATCTATCTTGACAGAAACCCCCTTCTAAACAGGTCATTGCCAGCTGGATATTTGCCTCAGTGAGTGGTGATGGCCACTATGAATCAAGTAACAACCTGCAAGGGATGGAAAGGACACACTACTCTCTGCCCTATTTTTAAGGATATAGGCTCAATGCAATGAATTGGGGTATACTAAGCTTTTCAAGGACTGGCAGACTGCAACACTGGTGCAAAAAAAATGAACGTTTATTGTATTTTAATGTCTCAAATTCTCTCTATGACTTTCTTAAATGTAGTTTATTGATACTTAAGTTTCATAAAAATGCACAGCTCATTACAAAATACATGCTCTTTTAAAAGTAGAAAATGGAAGGAAAAATACATAGCAGTCTGCCATCCAAAATAACCAATGAGAGCATTTGGTTTATTTCCTCTAGACTTTTTTAAACTTACTTTTTATGTAAGTTTAGATAAAATTTCATGTCACTCTTTCATATCTTAATCTAGAAATATGATCATGAAATTTTAGAGATACACAAGTATCAGGAACACTGATGTTCATCATTTCTTCATACATGTAAAAACCAAAGCCAGGATATTATGTGATTTAAGATCCTTTGGCAAAGTAAAACCTAGAAACCACATTTCCTGACTCCCAGTCTTTCATTATTATTTCCTAACCCAGTGTCCTTAAGCAAACATATACATAAAACTTAAAATACTAGAATATATCATTTTATCATCAAAATGAACTTCCAAGTCTTAATCTTTCCTATCTCTTCTCTCATTCTTTCCTCTCAAAACCTTATTGTCTGCTTACATGTATATAATCTGTTCTTACCCATTCCAATTATTTAATTATAACCTATGAGCTGACAAGTGCCAAATTTTGCCTGTCGTCAGCTCTCTCATCTGAATTTCAGACTTGATGGTACATATCCAAATGCTGAGAGTATAGACCACTTAGAAGTCACACAGGCATATCAAGCCAAACACATCAGCTTTCTGCAAAACCTTTAATAAATCCTGTATTCTCTATCACACAGAAAATATCCCATCTACACAACTGCCCATGCCATTAATCTTCAGTTTTATCCTTAATTTCTCTCTCTTTTCCCTCATTCTACAAATCTAACCTGACAGAATATTATATCAATGTTATCCATGCTATCATAAATCTATCTTAAATCTATGGAATTATTCCTAGCCCAGCCCTACTACTATTACTTTAAGTCATCTTTCCTCTCATACAGAATTAGATTAGAATACACCTTCTTAAAAAAAAAAAAAAAATACACCTTCTTGTCTCCCTTACTCTAGCCTCTCCCATCCCCCTCCACCTTCACCTCACATTCCCGATGCCATAGACCAGATGACTTTTTTAAGACACAAATCTCATTCCTTCTTTCCCTTCTTCAAAATCTTTCAATGCTTCCCTTCTTCTGAGGTTAAACTTCAAAACCCTAGACATGACCAACAAGCCCTGAAAGATCTGGCCTCCAGGACTCTCCCTCCTCATATATGAACACCCATCCCTTTTTGGTCTGTACCTGAGCCACACTGACAGTGTCTGCTTTCTGCAGACTTTTACCTCCTGTATCTCTGGGTCTTTCTGCTCTCTGGAGAGGCTCCCACTCCCAGCCTGGCTCACCTCTCATTGTTCGGATTACACTTTATGAACTCCCGCTCTAACTTTCTCTCCAGCTGGGTTGGATGCCCCTGCTATGCACTGCCACGGCACCCTCGGTTTCTTAGACCATTACACTTATCATTGGATATTATAAATGCTCATTTTATTTTCTGCATTCCCACTAGACTGTTTCTTTTGTCAGGGCAATACTAATCTTTCTTCGTCACTGTTTTTCCAAAACCAGTACAATGGCTAGAATGCAGTACAAGTCAAACATTACTTGGTGACTGGCCACATCCATACCTATGACCTTTAATGAGATGATTCTTTCTTTTATCTTCCTACCCTGTGAAAACTGTGATAGTTCCCTTATTATTCCTTTGCCATGTTGGCAACATTTTTTCAGTTCATGAACATAGTAACATTTATGATCAGTCACTGGTTAATTTTGAAAATATTAACTCTTAAGCTAATTATATGTATAATTATTGAAGGAAAACAATAACCATGCCTTTGACAAAAGAGGAGACAATAATTGGGGTATTTATAATATTTGCTACAATTAATAGACCTAAAAACAGGGTCAGAAGTTACTAAACTTTTACCTTTAGTTAATAATAAATCAATAAATACAGAAAATAAATTACAGATTATCTTTCCTAAAGCATAAATTACAGTTTATGACTTCATAATAAAGTATAATAAATTAGTTTGATCATCATAAACTATAAAAGTTCTGACTTTCATCACTATCTTATGGTTGCACAAAGGAAATCTTAATGGAAGAATATCTACAAAAGCCCCATTTAATAGACTTAAAAATCACTCTGAAGCAGAAAATTTATGTCTCTACTTTGTATTTTGCCAATGTAAATTTACAGTCTCTTGTTCCAACAAAAATAAATAACTCTTTTCCAATAGCTTTTACTTTCTCTGTTTCATATACTTTTTCCCACAGTCTATGTATTTAAACCATATCCTTTATACAAAAGTATAAACACTGCTCAAGTACCACCTCCTCCATGAGGAGGTGAACACAAGTGATCCATATTATACTCAACTCCATAACACTGTAATTATTTTTATTTATATTTCTATAAAAATCATTTCTATCCAGGGCCACCACAAACTCATATGTGCTTTGAAATCCATCCCTGTGCTCACCGTACCCAAAGGGGGTGACTTTTCCCTGACTGGTCTTACTGAAGCAGACACCGTGTGTTATTCTAATTTTCACAAAGCTGTCTATAAATTAGAAGTACCTGTTTGTGTATACAATTCTTCTAGACCAGGAATTTTCAAACTTTTTCATCTCATGGCACACATAAGCTAATTACTAAAACTCTGAAGCACACCAAAAAATATATTTTTTACGATCTGCCCTAAAAGTAGGTATAATTTTGATTCATTCATTACCAGATGACTATTGCTGTTTTGGCTTTTGTCATTTTTTTATTTGACATACTAAGAGAAAAGAGGTTAGGATCCCTAACTAACTGGTCAGGTATTGCATGTTTTAAAAATTCCTGCAGGACACCTGTTGCAAATCACTGTTCCAGACTCTAAAAACTTGAGAGGAGGCACTTTCATTCACAGAACCTTTAGACATAATGGAATGGGTGCTTTAAAAAGTACATGTTGAACATAGGAATAAAATATAGATTCTATCTGGTCTCACTTACCAAATTGGATTCATTCGGTGGGATGTACTTCTCTGTTCCCATGCGTACAAGTCCATCGTGGTACAGAAATATCTTTAGTGGATCACATGATGTCACCAGAATATAAATTCGTAAATCAAACTTGTAACCTTCCATTAGGAAAGGCTTGTCAATGTATTCTTGAACAATCAAATGATCCTGAGATGGAAGTTTGTCACCATTTCTTATCAAAGAAATCCTAGGTTTAAAGAAAAAAAATCAGCAGAACAATTTGATATGACATCAAGATGTTGACAAAGTTAATAGATAATACTCAAGAGAAAAATGGTGGAGTAGAAAACTCCAAATTCTACCCCTCCACGAAAGCAATGACTACCAAAAAAAAAAAAAAAAAAGTTATCAGAATCAACTTTTCTGGAATCCAGGAAACCAAGCAAAAGGTTGTAAAAGGTTATAACAACAAAAACAAAAACAACAAAAAGCAACTGAATCTATGTAAAACAGCTTTTTGGCATTTTACCTTACTCTGGTACCATCCCCCCTCCCACACCCCAGCTCGCCAGTTCGGCAATGGCCTGGAATAACTGCCCATGTTTCCAGTATAGATACTGGTTCTACAGGGAGGAGACTAGACCTTATTTTTATGGTTGTCTTTTTTTAAATCTGTGTAGCGGCTCTTCTGGAGGACCTCTGAGGACTTGCTTTTATCTTGCCTGACTGGGAGCTCTGTCTCAGAGCTAAGGCAGCTACTTGGGGAGGCAATTATGGAGAACACTTAAAAGACAAATATATTAGTCCCTGCTCTCTAAGACAACAAAATAACTATTGGGGAAAACAGACCAACTAAAAAGATTGAGAAAAAAGTTTGAGGAATGAGAGTCTTTGGGGAATAGAGTTTTGAAAAGTTCTGACATATTTCTAGAAATCTAAAAGCCTAAGGCTAGGTGCATGCTCAGAAAAGACCTGGAAGGCCCTAAGCTCTTACCTCTGGCTAACCACCTGGTTCTACACAAGTAGGAAATAGAGGCTAATGCAGAGCTGTAAATTGCCTAGTTGAGTGCAGAAGGCATGCTCCAATACAACATACACACAGCCCATCTGCCAACACTGGGCAATTTTTTTTGAGGTGTAGGTTCCAAGTGTTCACTAAAACCTCTATCGAATTAGTAGCTGACCACTGCCCTAAAGGAACAGGAACTTCAGTGACCACATACAACAAAGAATACAGACTTTACAAAATTATTTTAGAAAGGCCACTAAACAAACAACAACTACAACGATCATGAACAACAGCAACAAAAAAAATCCTACAGCGGGGGAAGAATTTGCTTTCCAGATTTGCTACATGGTAATATTCCAAATGTCCAGTTTTCAACAACAAAGAAAATGGCATGCAAAGAAAAAAGTATGACCCATACACAGGAATATCATCAATTAATAGAAACAGTTCATGAGGAAATCCAGACATGGGTTTTACTGGACAATCAACTGCTTAAATCAACTATCTTAAATCTGTTCAAAGCTAAAGGAAACCATGAGAATGCTATATCACCAAATTGAGAATATCAATAGAGATAGAAATTATTTTTTAAAGGGTGAGGGAGAGAATACAAACATAAATTCTGAAGTTGAAAAGCACAATAACAAAACAAAAAATTCACTACAGGGGCCAAACAGAAGATTTAGGAAGACAGAAAAAGAAACAAAACTTGAAAATGGTCAATTAAGATTAACTAATCTGAGAACAGAAAGAAAAATAATGAAGAAAAACGAATAGAGCTTAAGAGTTCTGTGGAATGCCATCAAGGATACTAACATATACATTCTTCAAAAAAAGAAGAGAGGGAGAAAGGGAGAGAAAGAATATTTGAAGAATTAATGTCTGAAGACTTCCCAATTCATTAAAAAAAAAAAAATACACATTCAAGAAGCTCAATGAACTCTAAATACAATAAACTGAAAGAGATCCACACTGAGACATACAATCATACTGTTAAAAGCCAAGGCAAAGAGTCTTGAAAGTAGCAAGATTGAAGCTATTCATCATGTCCCAGGGATCCTCAATAAGATAAACAGCTGACATCACATGAGAAACAATGTAGGCTAAAGACAGTAAAATAGCATATTCAAAGAGCTAACAAAAAAAAAAAAAAAGAACTGTTAACCAAGAATTCTATATCTGACAAAACTACTTAAAATTAAAGTAGAAATAGGATATTCCCACATATACAGAAGCTAAGAGTCTGTTGCTGGTACACCTGGCCTACAAGAAACATTAAAGAAAATCCTTCAGGTTGAAACAAAAGGACCTTAGACAGTAACTCAAATCAAATAAAGATCAACCCTAAAGGTGATTCATGGTAAATATTAAAGTCACTATTAGTTTAAGTTAGGTTTGTAACTACTTATTTTTCCAATATTATTTAAAACACAACTGTGTAAAACAATTATAAATCTATATTAATGGGCACAAATGTACATGATATAATTTATGACAATAAAAGGGGGCACAGATATATAGGAGAAGTTTTTTTTTTAAACTATTGAAACTAAATAGATATTAATCAAAAGAAAACTGCTATAAATTGAGATGCTAATTGTAATCCCAGGGTGACCATTAAAAAAATAAATAAAAAATACATAGTAAAAACATAGGAAATAAAATCGGTGCACTAGAAAATTATTTAATACACAAGAAGGCAGAAATAGAGGAATTGAAGAATAAAAACGTATATATATATGACACATAGAACGCAAATAGAAAAATGGCAGAAATAAATCTTTCCTTATCAATAATTACTAAAGTACAAATGGATGAACTCTCCTATTAAAAAATAAGATTTGGCAGAATGCATTTTAAAAATATATGGTCCAACAATATGCTGTCTACAAGAGATTCATTTTAGATTCAAAGTCTCAAATAGGTTGAAAATGAACAAATTGAAGATATTTCATGCCAAGGATAAACAAAAGAGATCTGGAGTGGCTATACTAATAGCAAACAAAATAGACTTTAAGATAAAAATTATTACAAAAGACAAAGAAAAACAATATATAAAGATTTTTTTGACGTCAATGCACCAATAAGATATAATAATTATAAACATATATGCATCTAACAACACAGCTCCAAAATATGTGAAGCTAAAACTAATAGAATTGAAAGGAGATAGCCCAATAATAACAGTTGGAGTCTTCAATACCCCATTCTCAATACGAGAGAAGAAAACCAAACAAAAGATTGGCAATGAAGTGGATATATCCCATAGATGACAGAGGTGTCCTTTACCTGTTCACTCCAATACATGAACTAAACCCTGGCAGCCCAGTATGACCTGCGTGCTTTTTCAGCCAGTTTTTATACTGTTGTCAAATCAGATTAATACCTATACATAATGTTTTACCAGTACGTGTGAATACATAGAAATGTAAATTGTAATATTAATTTTTAACATTAAAATTGAGAAAATGTGAACTTCAATTATACCCCCCCAAAATTTTCCTTTGATGCTAGTACACAGCAAACCAACTTTACATTAAACAACTAAAATAAAATTCCCACTAATACAACATGTTTATTTTTTAAATTTTTAAACCACAGTTAAAAATAATGTCTGATTAAATTACAATTGAAAGTCAAATAGAAACTGTTGAACAATAATTTACCTGGCAGCTACATTTTCAATACCTTTTTTTCCCCCATCTTAAAAACAAAGGATTAAAATGATTCACGTTTTCATTAAAAGCAGACTCAGCCACATTTTTTTTTTAAAAAGTACACTGCAGAAAACTAACATAAGTAAAAGGAAACAGGAATATATTATTCTGCAATGTATTCTTAGCTAACTTGTCTAGTTCTTGTTATTTTAGCTTGATTTGTTCTACTCATTTTCAATCCAATTACTGTGGCTACATAAAGTTAAAAACTCATTTATAAGCAAAGATACATGTAAAAGTAACTCCCATTCCATTTCTGTCTCCAAGGAAGTTTAGCTCTATGATATCCGCTGAATTTTATTCTACAGGATTACTCTAAAATTATTATGAATGCTAATTTTATATTTAAAAAATAGAAAACATCCTTTTTCCTCTATTTTGTTGTTTTGTGTTAAAGTCTTACAACCTACTGATTTAATTTTAATTACTGAAGCCTGTAGGACAGGGTAAAAGGACCAATTAAATATTTAGTTCCAAAAAAGCAATAGTTAAGAGATCTATTTTATTATGTTTTTCATATTAGCTCCAACCATGAGTTAATGCTCATGTTTATTCTCCCCACCACCCCCCCTTTTTTAAAAATATATTGCAGGTGAATAATACCTACCCATGACCCATTGCACCATTAGCTGGTTTTACTATAAAAGTTTTCTGCTTTCTTTTTTTCTTCAGTTCTTTCATATAGTTCTGGAATTGAGTATATTCAGCAGGGAAGATCCATGTACGAGGAACGAAGGTATAATCCAGAGGCCGGGACTTGATCATTCTGTAAGTCAGAGATAATATAAAAATAATTTCTATTCAAACTTTTCTAAATTTTCTTTCTGCGATACTGACATTTACCACAAGGATTTAAATCCCTCTATTCATTTATTGATTCATTCAACAAAGGTCTTAAGCATCTACTATGTGCTGGAACTAGTCTAGACACTGGGGATACATCAGTGAAAAAAGACGCAGTTCTCTGTCCTATATACTAATTTATGCATTGGTAGATCAAACATACATTTGACTATATACTATGTGCTTGGCACTGGGGATATTAAATTAATATGGTCTCTTCCCTAAGGAATTTATATACAGGGCATTAATTAAATACAATGTGATAGATGTAATAAAGGCATATAAGGCAAGATAATGTGGAAAGAGTCACCAAGTCGGTGTCAGGAATGGGGATGGGCAGTAGGAAATGGCTCACTGCCAGGTGCCATTTATACCACTTCTTTAAAGATGATTCATAGTCCTCTGAGTCATCCACAGGCAGAGTTCTGATTGCCTTTTACTCGTGTTTTTTGGAGTTTAACTCTTTTTCTGAGAAAACTGTGAAGCTTTGCGTCAGTAGAGGCTTTTGTTTATATGAACTGTATGTGTTTATACATGTGGTTTTATGGCTTCAACATATGTCCCAATATTCTTGTATTTGCTACAAATCAGGCTGCCTATTTGATGCATAACTTAAAGACAATACTTAGTTAATGTTTACTTTTGATGAATTCCAAATGTTAACTATTTTGTCTATATTGATTCCCAATAAAAATGAATTAAGAGAAGTATTTTAAAATATCTATTCAAGAAAATCTGACTGTTTCAAAAAAGGTTTTAAATTTTATAAATGTATTCAAGTCTTTTCTAGATGAGCAGATACTGTAGCAGATACTGTCCCCAAATAAAATTTGTAAAAAACTAAAATGGTATCATAGTATACAATATGCAGAGATGTAAGGCCTAAATTCTACGACTAGGAGTTTGGAATACATATGCCACTTGGCCTCCACAACTGGAGGTTCAAACAGTTACCATATTTCAAGTGTTCCTTCAAATGAACCCTGTAAAAAAGTTATGTTTTCATTATAAGAGGGGATACAATTACCATTTCCATGTGTCAAACCCAGAATGAGTCAACAAGCTAAATAATCTCAGTTTAAAATAGGCTAACATTGACGGTTTGAAACACACATCTAAAGGAAGCACAGTAACTGCTAATGCCTTTGTTTCTGTTTCCAAAGTCTTTCAATATATTTATTATATTTTTAACAATGAAATAAAATTAGATCAAGTTAAAGCTTTAATTAGAACAATATAGTTTGAAATGACCATGTAGTATTTATGAGTGACATTCTTTCAAATATAGTTGGAAAAAATTAAAGCACAAATATAGTCAAGAGAAATACTATATTTCACTTAGGTAATCTAACACAAATCATGTGATGTGAAAATGTGCAACTTCAAAAGAGACATTTGGTCTTGCTTAGGAATTTGGGAATCTGAGATTAACTTCTACTCATTGCTCTCATGGATTTACTAAATTATATTAATCACATGATTTATACAACTATTTTCATGTGAGTAGGCCAATTTTTTTTTAGAAGATTGTTTTTTCCTTAAAGAGAATTCCAAACATTCTATAGAATGAGAAATGCCTTTTTGCAATAGCCTACTTGTGAGTCTAAGGTGGTCTGCATTACCTCTTCTAACCATACAGGTTTCTGTTCTCTACATCTTTTCAAATGGCAAATCTGGTCATATTACTAACTTCATAACCCCCTCCTCTTCTTTGGCATTTCGAATAAAGACCATCCATAATCACTCTTCAGCTACTCTCTCTCCCACCATCAAAATGTCTGTGTTCCAGCTACACTTCGCTTTATTTCAGTAGCTTGACTATTCATGCTTTCTCCTACCACATGACCTTGGCCCATTCTATTCTTCCTGCCCAGAGTGTGTCACCTGCCGTCTTCACCAGCAAACTTGTGCTCATCAATATTTCACCTTCTACATCACTTCTTCAGAAAAACTCTCCGGTGCCTCCTTTAGTTAGAAGTCCTTCACTATGCACTAATTTAGAACTTTGTAACACTTATCACAAAGCAGCAATCCAAAGTTGTAAAAATCACAAGTCTCTTCTTGTACCCAGAGCCTAGCACAGTGCCAAAATAATTTATTTATAAAAAATTGTGTATTTGTTATGTGTTTAAAATTCAGTCACCTTCAAAGTACTCTCCATTTGTTGCAATATACGCACCAAGACGTTTTTCGCACTGCTCAAAACAGTTTTTGAACTTGTCATTTTGGCCGCTTTTAGTCCTTCTGCCGTTTGTATTTTACCTCTTACACAATGGCAAAACATGTCCCTTTGAGGACTTTTTTCATCCAGGGAAACAAACGAAAAAAAAAGTCGCTCATGGTAAGACTGGATAAATAAGGAAGGTGGGGCACCAAGGTCATGCTGGTTTTGGTCAAAAACTGGTGAACACTCAGCGCAGTGTGGGCAGGGTGGTCATAAATCACCCATCATGAAATGGGCAAATGTATTGAAAGAGTCTTCAGAAAAAGTCACTGAAGCTGAACACAGCCTCTCGCAACAACACCTGCTGGCACACTGATACAGATGGGTTCCTAGAACATCCACCTAGCAGGGGAAGACTGTACTACAAAAGGCCCACCCTCCAGAAGATAATTCCAGTTTTTGGGGGGGTCCCCCCTTGTATTTAATAAATAAGTGTTAAGTGAAAATAAATGACTTAAATAAAACACATATTCAAAAGTTTAGAGGCAATTCCCTTTCCCCTTAATCCTTTCATCCTGCAATTCCTATTTTAATCAATCATAACGCCTACACAATATCCTAAACCAGAAACCTAGGAGTCATCTCAGAAATGCCTCTCTTGCTCCCCTTTATTCTTGCATCATAGCAGTTTTCAGGAGTCCCATAAAGTCTATTTCCTTCCTACTGGGTTGGCCAAAAAGTTCATTTAGTTGTTGTTGTTGTTGTTGTTGTTGGCCAAAAAGTTCATTTAGTTGTTGTTGTTGTTGTTGTTCCCAAAAAGTTCATTTAGTTGTTGTTGTTGTTGTTGTTGTTTTTTCCATAAGATGGCTCTTCTAGAAGTGCTTAGTTCTCTTTAACATCTTTTGAAACAATGTTGTTAGACTGTATTGGGACAGCTGTCATATCAGTGTGCATTTTTAAAAAATCGAAATTGGTGTATTTTTGTGCAGCCATTTTAATATTGAAGAAGGAAGGAAATACATAGCATTTTCAGTGGGTTATGCTTCATTACCTCAAGAAAGATAAAAACACAACTGAAACAAAACTAAAGATTTCAGTGTATGCAGAAGGTGCTGTGACTGATCGAACATGTCAAAAGTGGTTTGCAAAGTTTCTTGTTACTATTGCTGTTTTGTCCAAATAATTCTTTGCTGTGGGGCTGTCGCATTAATGGAAGGGTGTTTGTCAGCACCCCGGCCTCTACCAACTAGAAGCCAATAGCAGGAGATGGCCAACCTACTCAAAATATCCATATCAGTAAAGTTATTGGTGAAAATCAAAGAATGTGTCTTTTATTTTACAGAAAAATAACTAAACAGACGTTTTAGCCAACCCAATATTTTCCAGGTTTATTTTCTCCTCCCCATTGCCACTCTCTCTCTCAATTGGCTTATTAGCTGCTCATTATTTCTCACCTGGATGCTAACAAACACAGCCTCCAGGGCTTTCTCCCTCTAGTCCTACCTTCATTGAATCCGTTAACTATATTGCCACCAAGACAGTCTAAAACATTATTTCTCTGCTTAAACCCATGGAATAACTCCTTATTTCTCTCAGGATATACAGAAATGTCTGTTGAGTAGTTAAGAGATTAAAGAACAAGTGGTTAAATAAACTATAATAACATGGCACACACAGCCTGCCTTTGCAATATCTCCAAGTATCATCTCAGGTTGATTCTCCTTACTTCCTATATAACCATAGAAACTACATAAAGTTCCCCAAAATATATCATGTTGCTTGAAGTCTCTCCTGCCACTGTCTTTGCCATCAAATCCCCTTGCCTTCTTCTCAAAGGGTGAGATACTTTACACTTTTCAACACCTATCTCTTACTTAATTTCTTCAGGAAGCCTTCCCTGCCCTCCCAAAATAATCCCTCCCACCATCTTTATCACCACCATACACTAACTCTGCCTCTCACACACGACCATCACACTGTATTGTATGTGTCGGTCTTTCTCCCTTACTAAAATATGAGTTCAAGGCAGGGATTAGGCCCTATTTATCTTGTTTACTTCAAAGTTAAGGCATAAAATAGACATTCAAAAATATTTGTTGAGTGGATGCATGTATAAACTTTCACTTGGATACATGCAGATATTTCTTTCATTGCACACACATATTTACTAACCTTTTCGTATGAAAGTGATCTCTTTTCAAATTTTTTTCTCAATTTATCACTCAACTTTCTTAAACTAAAAAAATCTAATCAAAGGAAATATAAACTGCATAAAAATTCTACAGTTCGTTCAGTACTTCAGTACCCGTGAACAGTTTTTCCCCTTAAAGCAGATTGTTACTCTAAACAATGGTCTCAGAAATAAATACATGTGCATGTATATCCTTGGATGAGCATATACAGGCTGAGCAAAAGTAGGTTTACAGTTGTTCATATGAAAAATAATACAATAATTAACAAATAATTATCCAAGAATAAACTGTTTCTCATACTCTCAACTGTAAGCCTACTTTTGCCTGACCCTGCCTATATGTGGTCTATGTGTATGTGTGTGTACACATACACCCACAACAGTGCCTGGCACATATCAGTTGCTCAATAACCAGAATATGAACACATACATGCACATGTGGCAATAATGCAACAAATTAGTTCCTGCAAGGTTTAAATGAAAACAAATAAGTATCTATTAAATAAAAAGTAAAAAGAGCCCTGATATTGTGGAAACCAAGATCCTGACCCATCTCTGCTATTAATTATTTGTTTGACTTTGTGCAAGACATTCCTCTAACCTTCAGTTACCTCCTTTGCAAAGTACAGGAATAGAATCAGAGAACATTTATGACCCCCATGGCTCTAAAATTCTTTCTTCCATCAAAATATCATTTCAAATCAATGTAACTTTGTGAAGATTGAACTATGATATTCAAAATGTAAATTTCTAACAGATCTATTCTATTACAAGAAAACGAAGATTACTTGGTCATATTTCTTGCTAAGAAATCCTTCCTACAGATCTCCCCCATTCCTGGAAAATGGTTGATCCTCTGGAAAATAAAAAGGTAAACATTAATATTCTCATAGACTTAATGAATACATTCATTTATATTATAATACAGTTACCACCATCCTTTAAGTTTTCACATCGTAATAAGTTGACAATTATTCATGTAAAATATTTAAATTAAATGACCCACAATGAATGAAAGAATCTCAAGTAATGAGAATAAAATTGCATAATTTTAAAGAAATCAGAAAAGAGTGATCATATAGACACTGAATTTACAATTTTCTGTGTTTAGAAACTGGTAATTCATTGTCGAAATTATTTTTGATATTCTAGATGTCCTATATTCATCAGATACGCATTGCAGAAAAGCTGGTGGAAATGGACTTATTTGTTCCCAACAGTAAAATCTGTATTACCATCCAAAATAACAGATGAAGAACTATACAAAATGTCAATTGTCTGAAAGTCTATGCATTTGACTTTTTAAATTTAAGTTTGTATCACATCCTAAACATAAAGGAATGAAGCCAGGCATATAATCAACATTACAAGGCATGTCTACATCATGATCTCTCTAGGCAATCTATTCCACATCACGCATCTTTAAGCCTAGTGCAAAACATCAGTCTAGGAAAAGTTTTCTTCTATCAATTCTTACTTAAAGATGGAAAGATGGTAAAGTTCCATCTCAAAGGATGCAGCGTTCATGTTGAGGTAGTACAACTGGACAGCAACAAAACAGGCTATTCAGGTAACTTAGGACTGAAATTTAATATGTCAACATATTAAGAACCCACTCTAAGGAAAAATATAAGGGAATTCATGTAACTTTCCTAATGGCCAAGAATTGGTCATGATTAATTCCCCACCTGGTAATTTTGCAGCTCTGCAATCTTCTCCTGCTGAACTGCAGAATCACACCATATAAGGTTACTTGTTTCATCCTCGTCGGGAGTTTTCATAAATCCCATTTCATCTATTACTAAACGAACTGCAATTAAATGATTAAGTTAAACCAATATTAAAATACCTCAGTAATATATTCAATGGGAAAACACTTTTTGATACATACTTATAAATTTTAGCCCAAAGCGTTTCATTGGGAAAATATCCATTAGTTACAGCATAGACTTATTTTGAGTTACAGCAATTTAACTAGAGCCAAATTATACTCAACAGTAACTGAGAATGGTTTTTAGGTTGCACCCAAAATCCTTAGTTTCAGTCCTCTAAGATTTACCAGTACACAGCACTGTTAAAGGGTCCAGTGATTATTCATAGCACAAGGAAAACATGCACAGCTGAGATGACACCTCTATCAGGAAAATGTACTTTCATGGCTTTTTGATGACCTTGGGCTGGGTACAGAGGGGAAAAGGTAAAATAGCCCCTGATCATTATATCATTAGACCTAAGCTATACTTTCTACCTCCCTAGATCAAATTATTTTTAGCAGTTAAAATCAAGTCAGCATGTTGACTAAGAATACAAAATAATAAAGCAGAATTCACTGCACATATTCGAAAACTGGCTCCCTTATCTGTCCCCAATTCTCTAATCTTACTGAAAAGAATTGATGCTCAGAGGAAAGCTTGCTTTTTAGTACAAATTATAGACTCTTCTCTGACATAGATATCATAATTGACATATTGATATTTTTCTTCCAATAAATTTCAAATTCAATCTTATCTACATTAAAGATAAGCAAAATACTTAAATTTTGATAAATTTTGGGTTCCAAGCAAAATTCTTACTATAAATAGCAGTGCTTCAGTATTTTATTTTTAAATGTTTTTCTGATATCCAATATGTGAGGAGAAATGGTAAAAAGCAACCAATTATCCGAATTATTTGGCTCAAGTATGAAACTGATGAGCGAACACCTGTTGGTCTCAAGTTGTGGGGACTCAACGTTTGTTTCTTGGCTGAGGAAAAAAGAACTTTTCATGCATCAGTGCCTAGAACACAGGCATGAAAGAGGACAGTGATCAGAGGTGGATGAGTTTGGGAAGGGGATTGCAGAGCTGAAGTTGCTGTGTTCCAGGAGAGGCTCGTACCCCAGTAAAACCTGGGATTATTCTGAAGGCCCAGGTGACAATGTACGAGAGTTGGGGAAAGGGCTGTTCCTGTGCCACAAACCACCATGCAGCTCTGGCATCCTGAGGGCTCAGGAGCTGCTGTGCCTCCTCAGGTTCACAGGGAAGGCCACGACAATGGTGCCACAGCCCGGGAGGCTCCTTTAACTGGCTCAGTGGCCAAAAACAACGATGAGGCCAGAAGAGCAGCTCAGAAGCAGACCTGCTCCTGAGCAGAGGAGACACACTGTCTGGGCCTCAGAAATAACTGGCAAGACCTTCACGAGAGAAATGGAACCAGAATCTATATGAAGAATACAATGCAACTTCAGCCCTCTGAACACTTCCTAGGAAACAGAGAGAACTGCACTTAAAACATTCTCCTTTCAATCAAGGTTTCTTATGAACCCCAGAAGAACCTTAAAAGTGAAAGGATAAGTTAACCCCACCCATCAATCACTTTTACAATAGTCACCTTACTCTTATTTTTTTCAGTCTGGAAAACAGGCTGCAAATAAACCCTAACCCTTCCACATCTCACCCACTCACACCAACCTGCTTAAAATCTTTTCCTCTGAGGAACACTTGGAATACAGCAGCAATTTTCAACCAATGGGCCACAGCGCACTGGTGTGCTGCAAGAATTGTTAAAACATGCAGTACCTGACTATTTAGTCAGGGGCCCTGATTTCTTTTCCCTTAAATTGTCAAATTTAAAAAATGACAACAGCGAACACATCAACAGCCATCCTGTGCAAATGAATTAAAATTATACCTATTTTTTTGTCAGGTCGAACAAAAACTATAACTTATTTTTGCTGTGCTGCAGAATTTTAGTAATTGGTTTATGTATGCCATGAGATGAAAAGGGTTGAAAATTGCTGGAAGAGAGTATTAGAGAACCTTAATTCCACTGATATATTTCATTGATTGTTGATGAGCTTTGGTGGATTACTGTAAATGAAAATGTGATTCTCAAAGATTAATAAGGGTAAAAAAATTAACATCTTTAAGATTCGTATTATTTTCCTCAACTTTTTTAATGCAAAAGAATTCAGAAAAGAGGAATATTATTTAAGTACTTGGTATTGATAATGAGTTTTGCAATGCTGGACAAAAGTATTTTAATTTCAAGTAATTAATTCCTCTTATCTGTTCTTTACACTGTAGATACTATTTACACATAAAAATTAGAATTTCACTAAAAAATAGCAACAGCATCTTCAAAAAAATTCTTTAAAAAGAGAGAAATGTGTTTTTACTGTATTCTTTAAGTCAGGTTCTCACTGTTTAATAAAAATCTCAAATTTTACACTGTTCATTTTATAGTTAACATTTTAATCTGTTTACTGCTCATTATTTTATACTTGATTTTAACATTAAGTTTAATCAAAATTGTCATATTAATAACTAAAGCTTTTAGTTTACACTCATGTTTTGATTATTGACATATTAAAGATCTCATAAAAATTTTACAGGGGGCACCTAAAAATACGTTACATAAGAGAAGGTATCTCTCTGAATTTCTACATTGTTTTCAACATAAAATTAGTTTTGCCAGCAAGTATGGAAATGCCATGATTCTGAGGAGACCTACCAATTTCAAACTTTGTCCCAGCAACATTTGCTGTAATTATTCCCTTCTTTTTCTTCTTTCTCACTTTCCTTTTCATACTGCTTTGATAAGGCAATTCTGTATTCAGATCCAGGGGAGAGGATCCCTGAATAACTTTAGAAGAAATGTAAACCAACAAAATATCATTGAAATAACAAAAACTCCATACCAGCAAACACAAATGCCCTCCCCCGCAAAATATGATATTTAAGTTCTGGTTCTTAAGAGTCCCCAATTAATTTTTAGTTCTTAAAGATAATTAGCAGTGATGATCTATAATATATTTACATTTTGTAATGTGATTAAGTCTGTCTGCTTACCTCTTTCGTGAGGCAGAGATGGCATTATTGCTTGTACCGATCAGCAAGCAGTGTGTCTCTGTACCCAGCTCTCAGGAAATCTGGATGGCCCACATGGGCCTAAGGAGGCTATGGCTCCAAACCACGGGAAGTTCCTATCATATTATCTTGGTGGAATACTCAGATTTCAGGGCACCGAAGTTATGGGATAAGAAGATGCCTGTAGGGATTTTAAAACAAAGTCATTTAGAAAACAACTTTTATGAACTATTTTGACATCTGCCAATACTACTCTTTTGAAAAGTCAAGTAAAAAAAATGAAAGAATGTAATCCATTAACAAATATTAATTTATTTAAACCTTACACAAAAATGCCAAGTGATAGTTCACTGTCCTAAAAAGTTTAGTTTAGAGGGGGAAGGTTTTATTTAAGTATTCATGTATCATATTTACATACAATAACAACATTCACTACCATTTACTGAACACTTACTATCATAGACCATCGACACCACTTAATCTTTCAACAAAACTGTGAGATATAAGCTTATATCCCAGTCTTGCAGATAAGTAAATTGAGCCCAGAAAGGAGATATCTTTACAAAGTAAGTAAGTGATGAAATGGAAATTAAAATTAATATATCTTTAAAATTAATGTATCTATGATGTCCAAGCCAGTGGGACCTGGAACAACCTTCAATCTAATGCCATGAACTTAAATTCTTTTAAAATGGCGAAAGAAGTGCCAGGTAGAAGTCACAGGCTGACAGGATGCAGAGAAAACTGATCCGTTCCCATGGTGTGTGTGATGGGAAGGGGGCCGGAGACTTTTAAAATAAACGACATTTGAATTGTGCCTTTAAAAATGAGAACAATTGTGAAATGCAGAAAATGGGGAAGAGGGGGGTCATTATGATGATGATCTTGTTTGGACACACAAACGAATGAAATACCATTTTTTAATGTGTGAATTCATTTGACTTGGCTACACCCTAACATGCCTTATATTACACTTCACTTTTATATTTATTGCATATATATGTACATAGATATTTATGCCCTTACTATACTGCCTAGTCTACACTATAAACTTTCTAATTTCTCCCTTCAAATTGTAAGAATCTTTGAGTTCTTCTAACATGTCTCTAAACATGAAATATAAAGCTTATCATGATAACCAAAGGCATGTATCAACACCTTTATTAGGAGAGTATGAAGTTTATTAGAAATTCAGAAACATTCAGAAATTCAGCTACACAAAATATAACTCATACACATCACCCCAAATAGTCATTATTAATAAGATTTATTTTTTTTTAAATTTTGAGCTTAATTTCTTCTCAGGTATCATTTGTACTAGAACAATTCTCTAGAATAAGTCAATCTCAAAACTATAGAAAGATTATTTGTTACAGACCAACTGTGGGCAGGTACTGTGTTAAGAATCTAAACTATTTCACCTCATTAACAAACCTACAACTTAAGTATTATTTCCACTAGTTTTCCAGGTATAAAAACTAACGCTAAGTAAGATAAATAAATCAAGATAACACAGCTTATAAACAGAAAACCTGGGCTTTGAACCCAATTCTGATTATCCTATCCATCGACTCCCTAAGCCCCACTGTCTTCAGACACCGTACTAATATGTCATATAGATGTGAAAGAAGTTTGCAATCCTATTGCTATACGTACTACAAATAGGGGTGTATTCTGGGAATTCACAATACTTCAAAACAAACAGTGAAATGATAGCAAATATCCCTAACCTGATCTCAGCTCCCAATTCCAAGCTGGAAATAGACTAGATTTCTTCTCAGAATAAAAGCAAGGAAAACTCTAAAGTTCAGATTGATTTATTTTTGGAAACTCTCTGATACTCTAGGGAGGTAACTATTTGAGTTTACAAGTCCTTGTCCAACATCTTGTTACTGGAGTAAACAAAGATCCTCTTATGGTAACAGAGTACTTATTACATTGAAAGTAGGTGACGAAGTCAATAAGAGTTTGAGAACAATGTTTGTCCAACTATACTGACAATAAATTAGTATTTGTTATAGGCTCTAAAAAGAGGTTTGTTAATTTCTGACTTAAATAATGAGCCATAGGACTTTGATTTGTATTGAGCTCAACAGAAGAACTCTTATCCCTTCCCCCATCCACACAAGAATTTAAAGACCTTAAAATTATTCTATCCATATACTCGTATATGCTTTAATTCCACTTATGGTTTGGTGAATAGCAATAAAAGTGCTTTAACAAAGTCAAGGACTTGATTCTATCATTGCAATTCTAATCATTTCACTTTATTCTAAGGAAGAGATTTGAGATGGCAGATTGATCACGCCGCTCAGATAAGCCATGGTTACCTACTTTCCAAAAGTGGAAAAGCATGTTTCAGTTACTTCCGAAATACTTTAAACGATGGTTTCTTAAACTTGGCTGCAAAACTGAGTCACCTGAGGAGCTTTTAAAAGTCCTGGTGCCAAGGCAGCACCCCAGACACAGGTGGGCCCCAGCATCAGCATTTTTAAAGGCTCTCCAAAGGATTCTAGTGTGCGGCCAAGAGTGATGCCCTCTGCTCCAAGCACCTTATGGCACTGAGGCAAACATACACATACAAAATGATGAGAAAGAAGCTAAAGAGAAAAACTCTTATAATTATATTTAAAAAGGTCAAATAGGTTGAAATCACCTATAAAAATCCTCACATCTACTTCAACTAAATAAATCAGGGGGAAATTTAGGAGGTCAGCAGACACCAATATCTAAGACAAAGAAACAATATTATTTTGCAATAAAGGAACTGTTTCTAACCCTGGCTGTTGTGGCTCAGTGGAAGGAGTGAGTGCCAGCTTGCGAACCAAACAGCCACCAGTTCGATTCCCACTCAGGGCACATGCCTGGGCTGCAGGCCAGGTCCACAGTGGGGGGCATGTAAAGGCAATCACATATTGACGTTTCTCAGCCTCTCTTTCTCTGTCCCTTCTTCTCTCTCTAAATAAATAAATAGATAAATAATACCTTTAAAGAAATAAAAGAAAGAAACTGTTTCTAAAAGGAAACAATTTTCCAAAATTTCAGACCAATGGTAACTTTGAATGGAGAACTTCAAGTGCCACCATGCAAAACAATGGCTACACTCAGACTGAAACAACAACAAAGTGTGCTGGAGCACGCTTCTTCTCAGACCTTCCCGTTGAATTTCTACTCATTATTTAAAATTTAGATAAATCTTTACTTTTGCCCTCCTCTGATCATGTCTGAAGAAATTCATTTCTCCTTCTTCTGGTCTCCTACAGTCTCTGACTTGAGCCCTTACCATCTCACCAACCACAGCCCAGGAGGGTAAGCTCCATGCAGGCGGCCGTTTTCTTCTCTCATGTTCACTCCTCCCCTCACAGAGGCTGGAACAGTATCTGACGCTGTGCTCAATAAGCACTTGCTCGTGATTTTTAAAAGCAATTAATTAACGGTCGCTGAGAATAAGGAGGGGTGGTCATGGAGCTCGGAGAGGCAAATACATATCATTTACAATATATTACTTTCACATTTTTAAGTGAAAAAATAAAACACATAGAAGTTTACATCTGGAGAAAATGATAGAAAAATGTATGGACTATGTATGCAGAGTGGTGGTGGCCTGCTGTGGCTGCAGACAGCGCTAAGGGAAATTTAGTTTTATGTACACATTAGTGCTCTGTGCATGGTGAAAACAAATTCAAAAAGTTAAATATATATGGTAAAATTTTCCGTCAACATTATCATGTTAATAACAAAAACCATCAAATTTTGTATTTCATTTAGATGAAGGTATAATACAGAAGACAGAACAATGAACGAGAAGTCATTTCGAATTATTATCCCTTATTCAGCCACTTACCATCTAGATGATTTAAATTCTTAATATGCAAAAGGAAAAATTGACTCTTTCCAGCCCTAAAGCCTAAGATGCCAACCCATGAAGACAGCATTGTTGATTTTTATGACAACAAATAGAAGACAAAACATCTTTTGTGTAAAATACACAAGGGAAACAGACCTTCCCTGACAATCCCCTAAAATCCCTCGTGAATGTTATATAGGGTTTTTTGAAACATTTGTGAAATTCTGTTTACCATAGGTTGCTAAAACAGCCTAACAAAAAGTCAGTGGGAACTAGAATTAGGGCTAAATTGAACATATGTAAAATAACATTAAATAAAAATGTAATAAAAGCTGTGTTTATGGTAAGGAGGGGAAGCAAAAGAGAACCAACATAAACCAGTCCCTACCATGTGCTAAGCATTTTCACATAACTTTGTATATTTAGTCTACTCACTGGGACACTCAGTGGGTAGACTAAATATACATTTTATTCCAATTTTAAAAACAGAAAAATTTAGGCTCTGTGGTTAAATAACTTGCCCCAAGTCACACTTAATAGGTGATAATGAAGCGGTTTGTTTCTAAAGCCCATGCCCTTCCCACTTATTGTGCTACCTTTAAAATTCAGTCTTTAAACATGACATAGTGAAGATTTCACAAAGAAGTTTAATTCTGCTTGACTGGAACTATTTTATAAGCTACAGATTGAGAGTAAGAGAATCAAACTACGGTTTAAGCCTGAGATCACAAAATTGCGTCAGATTTCATCTCTCTTCTCGGAACACCTAGGTTATCCATATCCAGATTATGTTCCTGTTTCTCCTTCCTGAAGGTACTACCTGCAAATCAACAAATATTACTATGTATCAGGCCCTGTTGTCAGTGCACAAAATGGATAAAAATTTCCTTTCTTGTGGCATTTGCATTCTGGTGAAGATAGAGACAAAGAGTAACAGTAAACATATTAAATAAGTAAATCAAAGAAAATGTTCAGTCCTCAGACGGGGAAAAAAGAGCTGGTTAGGAGAGTAGGAGTTTGGGAGGAAAGGAAGCACAGATGCAATTTTAAATACTGTAGACACGTGGGCTTCATGGGGAAGGTAACCTGAAAAGGGGTAGTGACTTGTTATCACAAGTAGAGTCGATAAAAATATGAGGTCTGTCTGAGTAAGTCCAGCCATTGTTAATATAACAAGAATGGTTTGGGCAACATCAATGTAACCAGGGAGCCAAGGAAAGTGGACTGGGATGTGCATGTGTGGACAACAACGTACTAGTCAGTGGGAATGGTAGACACCATTGCGTGAGCATATGCACCATGTGGCTGTCACATTCAAAATGACTGAGTAGAGC